TTTTCCATAATAATAAATTCAAAGAGCTTTGTCAAAATAGGCATGTTACTAGTTCCGCGATAGTTATCGAGGTTATTAAGAGAAATTTTTTACAGGATTTTACTATAGGAACAATTATGGATCTTGATAGGTACTCCGTCACCGTTCCGTTATTGAAGATATTGTCATAAATTTTTGAAAGCCATTTAAGTAGGTTGTTGTTCTAAGAGTATTTAAGATGTTTTGCAGTAATTCCGCAAGAGTCACGTGATTTATTAGATCTAAGCCTAAGAATACAAGTTTCAATGTCGGAAATTGATACAAGTATTTTATTAGGCTCATCTATGAGTTGTGGAATATGACGGTGTTTGTAATTATTGTTGGCAATTGTGGGAGTGTTGAGAATGGTACTGAAGTTTTGTCTATTTTAATTTTTCTACAATTTCTTTTTTATCTTGTTTTTTATTAATAGTAAAAATACGAGTGTTTGGATTTGATTTATTTCTTCGGATATTGTTCCAAAACATTTGTGGATTACTTTTTTGAAGGTAATTAATATTTTTGGTAGTTTTATTGATTTTCAAATTATGATCTGCTTTTACAACTTTGCGGAAATTTTTACGAGCTACCTTGTATATGATAAATGAAATGCGATTTTGCGATCTGATGTAGTTATATCTTTTCCATTCCTTAAAATGGAAAGAGAGAATATGTTTGCATGATTTAATTTCTGGTGTCCACCATGGTTTAGAGTAAACTCCTGATGGAAACAGTCTTCCTTTGCTAAAATAGTATCATTTTTTATTTTTGTGCAGTTTATTGTGCTGATTTTAATTAGTTTATTGAAGAATAAATTTATTTCCAATATTGTTGTTTTCAACAGCTTGAAACATGACGCCGATGGAAGTTTTTTGAGAAAAAATTTGTGAACGATCAAATGGAAATATACCAGTATATTAGAAATTACTCCGTGCATTTTCAGGTTTAAATCCACCATTTTGGATGAGATCTTTAAACATGGCAGGAAAATATTGATTTGTCAGAAAAGGTGCCCCAAAGGGGGGAGTAGTGGGTATCTAGCCCCCTACTTTGCTAGTCAGTATATTGGATACTGAAGTCGGTATAATGGGATCTATAGTTGACAGTCGGCAAATTTCAGGATGGATCTTTGCCAACTTTTCTTTCTTTTTTTTTTTTTTGTGTAGATCTTAGTTGGCAAAAAAGTTTTTCTTGGCTTCGGCTTCGGAATTGATTTGGGAAAAAATAAATAGGTCGACCAATCCCCTACCCCCTCCTTCCCTTTAAAATAGATTTTTAGTCAAATAACTTTTCGACTGTTTGCTTTCATTCACTTTTTACTGTTTTGAAAACGCCATCATTTAATAGCTCTTAGAAATGGCTAGTATGAGCAAGCAAACACCAAAATAAAATAGAATTTCCTAGAGCTTTTTTTTTTCAATACTAAGCATATATTTAAATCATGGACATCAAAAATTAGAATTTTAAAAACCTGAAAGTTTATTTGCCTAAGACGATAAAACTATTTTAAACCATTACAAAAAATTATTAGATTCCACCCAGCATAAACTTACGTTATAATCAACATTCTCGGCACCACCTTTGCACCAGTTTTTCACAATATGTTAGCCTTTATAAATGATTTGATGGGGTAAAAAACTGCCAAAAGCGTTGCAAATTTGATGGGGTAAAATTTGATGGGGTAAATGTGATGGGGTAAAATTTGATGGGGTAAAAACTGCCAAAAGCGTTGTCGTCATTTGCTTTTCAATTGAACTTGCTAGGTTTTTAGGATTTTTTGCACCTTATCGCTTAAATTATAATCATTATAGTATATATAGTTTCTAATTGTTCAAACCAATTCTTAATTATATCTGGCTGTGTGGCCACTTCTCTAATAGTTTGAATCAGATAAATTTCTTTACGAAATTTATTCATGAAAACGGAGTGCTATTTTCTAGTCGGTTTTCCGTCTTTGGATAAACTAATTTGATTTGATTCTTTTAAATAAATTTCAACAACAATCAACAGTCTTTTCTGTTCAAGTTTAAGCCTTTATTAATCATAAATTTTAATAAATTAACCATAACTGCTTAAGTGATGCTGCTCATCTTTCTTGGCGCTCCTCGATCATTAGATGACCCTTTTGTTCTGTCAAAAAGAGTAAATATTGCCGCATTATAACATTTAGCAGCTTATGCATATTGCTTTTTTTTTCTTTCAAGAATAGCTTAAATAACTAGCTAGATTTAACTCTCGCTTTCCTTTTTGTTAGTTTATCTATATTCTATAATTCAGTAATACAATAGCACCTAGGTGTTTTATACGCATAAAGTTAATGCATAGGTACCTATGAATCAACTTTATGCATATAAAATAATGCATATCTATATCAGGATTTAAATGTGTACTTTTTTTTGCTGGTGACTATTTATTATTTTTTTTTTTTCATGTACATATGCCTGTATCCGGATTTATGGGTCTACTTTTTTTTGCTGGCGGCTAATTTTTTTTTAGTTAATACAAATTATTATTTAATAACTTTTTTATTAAAATAATCAGTATAATATTCTGCACAAAATAGTATTTTTACTTTTAAATTCTTTTTTTTGCAAAAAGTTATTTTTTTTTCTTTTTTTTAATTTAGTTATGAACAATTTTTCATGATTGCAATATTTTATCTAATTTTTATTTTATATTATTTGGCTAGTCATATTTAGACGTTTATTAAGTAAAACAAATATTTAATAAATTAAAAGCGAGTTTTGCTTTTAATTTAAACCAGGTTTATATCCGGAATTTTACGGGAATTTTACGGTTTACAATTTTTCTAAATTAAAACTTTTTTAACTAGCCAAAAAATAAAAAATAAAAAAAAGGATGGGGAAAGGGGATTTTTAGTAATAGTAATATTTTTAAATAAGTCTTTATAGATTACATGACAAATAAATAAAAAAACAATCCAATAAACAGATTAAAAAACAAAAGCAATTTTTTTTTTTATTATTATTATTATTTTAGATTATTTTGTACGCATAAGTATTTTGGATGATTTTGGACGATTTTTAATTTTTTTAATTTTGGATGATTCCTTATTATAAATGATAAAGTACAAGTATGCTTTATTATTTATAATAAGGAATCGTCCATAGAGTGTGCAGGTCAAAATTTTAGAAACTTGACACCCCTCCCGTGTTGCCATGCGTACTTTAATTAATGTTTGTGATTGTTTTATCTAAAATAAAATTGGCAATAACAACCTCGCAATATGTAGCGGGTATATAAACAAAGAGCTTGTTTGTTGCCCAAAACTGGATAGCAACTCTTGCACCACAATATTCCTAAAACTTCAGAAGTTTTTACTTGAGTGATTATTGCAAATAAAATTAGGCAAAGCTAGAGATACGCGGGCTAAAATAATTTTATTCTATCGTTTGTTGCGCTTTCATGTGGAGACTTGCTCAAAGTATTGACTTTTTAGTATAAACATAAAGAATATCTATTGGTTTTAGTACATACATCGACTATATTACAGCCTGCTGCTACAAAAGAGTGTTGATATATCGACTATCTTATAGCCTCTACAAGGAAGTGCTGCTTTTTTATAGTTTCTACAAGGAAGTGTTGCTACTTTGACTGAGCATAGGACAGCAATCTTTTTTCTTTTATTATTTCAATTAAAATTTCTAATGTTTAAAAACTCTCCACTATCAAGAGCGCAACAAGCGAAAAATTATGAATATTTTAGAGCGCTAAAGTTTAGCTTTTGCTAAAATTACATTTTATTCGTTAAGAATTTTGTATTTTGCCGGTTTACCCATAATTCTTTATTGACCTATAGGGCAATGATTTTTTGATTTAATTTACAGTCTTAAGTAAATAAAATAAAATATAAATTCCGGCCTGAAATATTATAATTCCGCCAGGAACCAAATTCAAACAACAAAATTCCGGCCGTAACGGAATTCCTATGCATCACTAATAAATACTTATCGTTATGTTATAGTTAGCTACAATACAAATAATACAAATAGTGTTTTTAGCTAACACTATTTGTATTATTTGTCATAATACAAATAGTGTTAGCTAAAAAGCAATATGTAACCATCGGCTAGCTACAAAGCAATACTTTATAATATAAAAGCTAACAACGCTCATATTATAAGCGTTGTTAGCTACAATGTTGCGATATGTACCTAACGACGTATTGTAGTAATATCGATAGCTACAATGCTACGATATCTAGATAGCTACATGGTGAAGTAAAAACGTATTAATTATTTTAAATATATATTATCAAAAATTGCAATAAAGCTATTAGCTAGCTCATTCCCCTACTTATAATATGTAAAATTAAAAACCTATACTTATACTCACAAAAAGTCGAATAGTACTCATATGCATAGTGCAATTATTGAATATTAACAGCTTTGACAAAAACTTTTATGATTTTATGAAAATCATTTACGGCATTGTTAATGTCTATCTAGCATTTATGATTGAGATTGATCGCAACCAGCATTTATGATTGCGATTGATCGCAACCTGTAAGATTGTTTTCTGAGTTTTTTATAATACCGAAAAAACATAAACTCCGGATTCGCAAATACAATTCTAGGCTTGAGAATAAAATTTGCAAATTGTAGACGACATAATATGAATTCCCAATCGCATAATACAATTTTTTAACTAGGTGTTTTTTTTTACACATCTTTTTCATCAATTACATCTTGAAAAGACATAGCAGCTCAGATTCACAATTATGAAATACGTACTTAACAAAAAGCTTTTAACTAAAAAAATATAAACGTTATAAAATTGCGAAAGAATGTATTTTTTCTTCGTTTAAAAAACCAACGCAGTAATTATTACAGCAACACAGCTTAAGATAACAAAATTATAGATTATGGAGTTTATGATCGCATTATCTATGCAATCATAAACTCCATAATCTATGCAATTATAAACTCCATAATCTATCCGATCATAAACTCCATAATCTATGCAATCATGAACTCCATAGTCTATCCAATCATAAACTCTCCATAATCTATATAAATATAAACTTCATTGTATCATCTAGTTTGTTTGCAATTCTAATAATCGTTGTATAGTAAGCGTTTCTTTACAAAGTATAAACGACCCAGTCATCTTTTAAATCTTACTTGAACAATGACTAAACGAGACAGCATTTTGAACTTACTAAAAACCATCCCGTTATCTTTTTTCCAACTTCGAGCATTACTAATAATAAATATTATTAACACGTAGTTCTAGATAGGAATTAAACTTTAAATGAATTAAAAAAATAACTTTAAATAAATTTCTTTACTTTATAGTTTTCGGTTTAAACATTGTTTATAGATAATACCGTTTTTTATATTTTTTGCTAATCCGAATTCTATTGAGTTTTCTTTTTTTCGAGTTTGTTTTAAGAAAGCCATTAACGTTGTCGAACATTTCTTTCACTTTTATTTTATTTTTTCTTGCGCTTTTTAAAGAACGTAAATTTGCATCTGAATCAGAAACAGATTTTCTAAAACTTTTGAAATTCTTTTCATTTAAAGACTTGGAAAATAATAAATTATCGTTAAGAGCATCCGCCATTACTTGGTTTAATGATTCTTTTTCAATTGTAACAGAAATAGGATTCTCTTTTTCCATTAGTTCATTATTTCCACCAATCGAAAAATCAAGTGGCACTTTATACACATTAGATTCAACAGTACTACCTATATCTAAACCAGTTAACAAAGAATCTAAGGATTTACAAGTATCTTTAAAGTTAAACGTTCCCCGCAAAACATTAGAAGCATACTGAGATGCAACATTCCCTCTTGGCTTATATCGAGCAACAACATAAACGCAACTCATTCCATTTAATTCTAAAGTGGCTTTACCCATACCAAGAGAAGTACTTTCGCTCCAGATGACCTAAACAAATAATGTTAAATTTAGAATAAAAAAAAAAAAACAGTTTTAAAATATCAGGTATATAAATAACAACTAAACGTCGCATATATAAATAACAACTAAATGTCGGGTATATAAACAACAATTTAATGTTGGGTATATAAACAACAATTTAATGTCGGGTATATAAACAACAATTTAATGTTGGGTATATAAATAGTAACTAAACCTTAGATATATAAAATTCATTTAAACCGCATTTTTAAATAAGAGATTAATTAAAAAAATAGACAACAGCTAAAGACATTATGACCACCATAGACATATATTACAATTTTACACAATCCTAAAAAACAATTAAGACATGTATAAAACATACAGGATTAATATACTTTTTAAAAAAATACAGCATCAATATATTTTTCTAAAGAAACTAAGAAATTCTTTGAGTTACTAAAGATAATTAATTTAAAAAAAAGTATTGAACTTAAAAAATATTAATTAGCAATATTGTTTATTTCAATTTACATATTAAATTAACAATATTGTTTATTTTTATAACAAATATTTAGAGTTCCTCAGAAAATTAAAACCTCATTAAAATAACTTAAAAACATTAAAAAATCTAAATATTTCTTAAAAAAATAGTATCTCAAAATTTTTCTCTACAAAAACATAAAAAAAAGCAATAAATCTAAATGTTTCTTAATAGCATGAGTATCTCAAAATTTTTTAATAATATCTTTATTAATAACAACATAAATTAACATTAGTAAATCTAAATGCAGAATAATTGCATAAGTGTCTCAATAATTTATCAACAATATTACAAAGTATTTTTAGAAACAGTATTGCTTAATGAGAACTCAAGTTTTATTTCATTTTAATTTATGAATAATTAATTATATTCATTACTTATTCTAGACATTTATCATGAATATTTTTATCTGATAATTATTCAGTATTTCTAGGTCTATTTATAAATCGCATTTTCCTCAGTTAATTTTATAAAATCTACTTTAATTAACTTTTTTAAACTTTTTAATTGACAAAATGTAGTCATTATTGATTTAGAAATATAAAGACATACTTGAGTGAAATGTGAAGTGTCCGGAGAACCCTCACTACCAAACTCATACTCTTTATTGCAAACTTCAGAATACCTGGATATATACTTAAAACTCTATATACAACTTTACAATAAAATTAAAAAGTTCATTTAAATATATATAAACCAATAATAATATTAAGCTTCAAAACACAACAAATAAATATCATAACATTATATAAAATAAAATTAAGTAGGAGTATTAAAGAGAACGTTTTTTCCGTTAATCTCCATAAAATTGAACTATCACGGATTGAAACTTTAAAAAGTGTGTTACACCAATAAATAAAATCAATAAATAAAATAAAAAAATATAATATTTTATATATAAAAAGTAAATAAAATATATAAATAAAATTAGATAAGAATAGATAAAAAAATGCCTTAACTAAAACAATAAAAAACAAAAGATAAATCACTAACCAATCCTTCACAAAGACTGTAGCAGAAACAAACTTTTTATCAGAGAAACATTGGTAAGCTAAATTTTCACCTAAGTCTAGATTATTTGAGTGCTCTAAACGACCAATAGTAGACAAATAAAAAGCATATCTTTGAGCTGAAAGAGATAACTCAGCACTTAAATGAAGATCCGAAACACCATGAATTTTACGAAAAACATTATGAGCCCTCAAACCAACTTGATCGAATTCGTTAGCATTTAAATCAATTCGTGTTCCAAGTGAGTTTAATGTGCCACCACCGTTTTGACTATCCAATGTGCCAGTTGCAGTATCACCAGCTGCTATGCCAGCAACCCAATTGGAACTACTGACCTGCATCACACTACTTGCTAAACTCTCTAAATTGCTGCACGTACTGCTTGAATCAAAAGAACCAGCTAGCACGTTTTCTTTGTATTTGGAAACTATGTTGCCTCGCGGCTTATATCGCGCAACAAAGTAAGTGCATATCAAGCCGTCTTTCTCTGAAGTCGCTTTACCCATTCCAAATAAGGTGCTACTTTTCCACACCACCTGAAAAAACAAATTCGCTTTTTGAAAAATATTTTTCGAATCAATACGTAAACGAAAACATCATCTTAACTCAATTAAATGTTAAACCGATCATATTGCATTGAATATTCGCACGCGGGATGTTGCATTTATAACTATGACCATGATCGATAGCAGAGATGTACATTAAACAACAAATAAAAAGTAAGAAAAACCAACGCAAAGTACTTGCAAACTCTTTTTTCTAAAATGCAAAGGTATTAGAGAGTAAACTTACTTGGGTAAAATGTGCAGTGTTCTGAGAACCCTCACCACCAAAATTGTAACTATGTTTGCACACTTCAGAGTACCTGAAAAAAAATAATTCGATGTCACCAAATTCAATATTTCCAATAAACAGTGCGCTTTCTCTTCTACAATTTCTCATTAATTAATATAAAAAAAATCTCATAGAATCGTTACTTCTCATATTCACTTTGTAAAACTGAAACAGAACGTAAAAAACCAGTCAAGATTTAACATGGCGAATAACAAATCAATCAGTTAATACACTAAACAAAGTCTATGCAACAAAAACAAAACCGAAAACAAAAAAACCCTAAACATATCATTTTATTGATCTTTTAAAAAATGGCACATTTGCCCTATCACTAATTTGTGTTAAGTATAGAAATGGAAGCAATTAAAAAACTAACCACTTCTTCACCATGTCTGCTGCAGACGCTTCCTGTTCGCCAGAGAGACATTCAAAGCCTAAATTTTCTCCTTGGTCTGCAACATTTGAGTGCTGCAACCTTTGAATACCAGATAAATACACAGCATACTTCTGGGCAGATGCAGACAACTCGGCATTCAACTGTAACGAAGGAACGTTGTGGATTTTGCGAAATACATTGTGAGCTCTCAGCGCCACTTGATCGAATTCGTTAGCATTTAAATCAATTCGTGTTCCAAGTGAGTTTAATGTGCCACCACCGTTTTGACTATCCAATGTGCCAGTTGCAGTATCACCAGCTGCTATGCCAGCAACCCAATTGGAACTACTGACCTGCATCACACTACTTGCTAAACTCTCTAAATTGCTGCACGTACTGCTTGAATCAAAAGAACCAGCTAGCACGTTTTCTTTGTATTTGGAAACTATGTTGCCTCGCGGCTTATATCGCGCAACAAAGTAAGTGCATATCAAGCCGTCTTTCTCTGAAGTCGCTTTACCCATTCCAAATAAGGTGCTACTTTTCCACACCACCTGAAAAAACAAATTCGCTTTTTGAAAAATATTTTTCGAATCAATACGTAAACGAAAACATCATCTTAACTCAATTAAATGTTAAACCGATCATATTGCATTGAATATTCGCACGCGGGATGTTGCATTTATAACTATGACCATGATCGATAGCAGAGATGTACATTAAACAACAAATAAAAAGTAAGAAAAACCAACGCAAAGTACTTGCAAACTCTTTTTTCTAAAATGCAAAGGTATTAGAGAGTAAACTTACTTGGGTAAAATGTGCAGTGTTCTGAGAACCCTCACCACCAAAATTGTAACTATGTTTGCACACTTCAGAGTACCTGAAAAAAAATAATTCGATGTCACCAAATTCAATATTTCCAATAAACAGTGCGCTTTCTCTTCTACAATTTCTCATTAATTAATATAAAAAAAATCTCATAGAATCGTTACTTCTCATATTCACTTTGTAAAACTGAAACAGAACGTAAAAAACCAGTCAAGATTTAACATGGCGAATAACAAATCAATCAGTTAATACACTAAACAAAGTCTATGCAACAAAAACAAAACCGAAAACAAAAAAACCCTAAACATATCATTTTATTGATCTTTTAAAAAATGGCACATTTGCCCTATCACTAATTTGTGTTAAGTATAGAAATGGAAGCAATTAAAAAACTAACCACTTCTTCACCATGTCTGCTGCAGACGCTTCCTGTTCGCCAGAGAGACATTCAAAGCCTAAATTTTCTCCTTGGTCTGCAACATTTGAGTGCTGCAACCTTTGAATACCAGATAAATACACAGCATACTTCTGGGCAGATGCAGACAACTCGGCATTCAACTGTAACGAAGGAACGTTGTGGATTTTGCGAAATACATTGTGAGCTCTCAGCGCCACTTGATCGAATTCGTTAGCATTTAAATCAATTCGTGTTCCAAGTGAGTTTAATGTGCCACCACCGTTTTGACTATCCAATGTGCCAGTTGCAGTATCACCAGCTGCTATGCCAGCAACCCAATTGGAACTACTGACCTGCATCACACTACTTGCTAAACTCTCTAAATTGCTGCACGTACTGCTTGAATCAAAAGAACCAGCTAGCACGTTTTCTTTGTATTTGGAAACTATGTTGCCTCGCGGCTTATATCGCGCAACAAAGTAAGTGCATATCAAGCCGTCTTTCTCTGAAGTCGCTTTACCCATTCCAAATAAGGTGCTACTTTTCCACACCACCTGAAAAAACAAATTCGCTTTTTGAAAAATATTTTTCGAATCAATACGTAAACGAAAACATCATCTTAACTCAATTAAATGTTAAACCGATCATATTGCATTGAATATTCGCACGCGGGATGTTGCATTTATAACTATGACCATGATCGATAGCAGAGATGTACATTAAACAACAAATAAAAAGTAAGAAAAACCAACGCAAAGTACTTGCAAACTCTTTTTTCTAAAATGCAAAGGTATTAGAGAGTAAACTTACTTGGGTAAAATGTGCAGTGTTCTGAGAACCCTCACCACCAAAATTGTAACTATGTTTGCACACTTCAGAGTACCTGAAAAAAAATAATTCGATGTCACCAAATTCAATATTTCCAATAAACAGTGCGCTTTCTCTTCTACAATTTCTCATTAATTAATATAAAAAAAATCTCATAGAATCGTTACTTCTCATATTCACTTTGTAAAACTGAAACAGAACGTAAAAAACCAGTCAAGATTTAACATGGCGAATAACAAATCAATCAGTTAATACACTAAACAAAGTCTATGCAACAAAAACAAAACCGAAAACAAAAAAACCCTAAACATATCATTTTATTGATCTTTTAAAAAATGGCACATTTGCCCTATCACTAATTTGTGTTAAGTATAGAAATGGAAGCAATTAAAAAACTAACCACTTCTTCACCATGTCTGCTGCAGACGCTTCCTGTTCGCCAGAGAGACATTCAAAGCCTAAATTTTCTCCTTGGTCTGCAACATTTGAGTGCTGCAACCTTTGAATACCAGATAAATACACAGCATACTTCTGGGCAGATGCAGACAACTCGGCATTCAACTGTAACGAAGGAACGTTGTGGATTTTGCGAAATACATTGTGAGCTCTCAGCGCCACTTGATCGAATTCGTTAGCATTTAAATCAATTCGTGTTCCAAGTGAGTTTAATGTGCCACCACCGTTTTGACTATCCAATGTGCCAGTTGCAGTATCACCAGCTGCTATGCCAGCAACCCAATTGGAACTACTGACCTGCATCACACTACTTGCTAAACTCTCTAAATTGCTGCACGTACTGCTTGAATCAAAAGAACCAGCTAGCACGTTTTCTTTGTATTTGGAAACTATGTTGCCTCGCGGCTTATATCGCGCAACAAAGTAAGTGCATATCAAGCCGTCTTTCTCTGAAGTCGCTTTACCCATTCCAAATAAGGTGCTACTTTTCCACACCACCTGAAAAAACAAATTCGCTTTTTGAAAAATATTTTTCGAATCAATACGTAAACGAAAACATCATCTTAACTCAATTAAATGTTAAACCGATCATATTGCATTGAATATTCGCACGCGGGATGTTGCATTTATAACTATGACCATGATCGATAGCAGAGATGTACATTAAACAACAAATAAAAAGTAAGAAAAACCAACGCAAAGTACTTGCAAACTCTTTTTTCTAAAATGCAAAGGTATTAGAGAGTAAACTTACTTGGGTAAAATGTGCAGTGTTCTGAGAACCCTCACCACCAAAATTGTAACTATGTTTGCACACTTCAGAGTACCTGAAAAAAAATAATTCGATGTCACCTAATTCAATATTTCCAATAAACAGTGCGCTTTCTCTTCTACAATTTCTCATTAATTAATATAAAAAAAATCTCATAGAATCGTTACTTCTCATATTCACTTTGTAAAACTGAAACAGAACGTAAAAAACCAGTCAAGATTTAACATGGCGAATAACAAATCAATCAGTTAATACACTAAACAAAGTCTATGCAACAAAAACAAAACCGAAAACAAAAAAACCCTAAACATATCATTTTATTGATCTTTTAAAAAATGGCACATTTGCCCTATCACTAATTTGTGTTAAGTATAGAAATGGAAGCAATTAAAAAACTAACCACTTCTTCACCATGTCTGCTGCAGACGCTTCCTGTTCGCCAGAGAGACATTCAAAGCCTAAATTTTCTCCTTGGTCTGCAACATTTGAGTGCTGCAACCTTTGAATACCAGATAAATACACAGCATACTTCTGGGCAGATGCAGACAACTCGGCATTCAACTGTAACGAAGGAACGTTGTGGATTTTGCGAAATACATTGTGAGCTCTCAGCGCCACTTGATCGAATTCGTTAGCATTTAAATCAATTCGTGTTCCAAGTGAGTTTAATGTGCCACCACCGTTTTGACTATCCAATGTGCCAGTTGCAGTATCACCAGCTGCTATGCCAGCAACCCAATTGGAACTACTGACCTGCATCACACTACTTGCTAAACTCTCTAAATTGCTGCACGTACTGCTTGAATCAAAAGAACCAGCTAGCACGTTTTCTTTGTATTTGGAAACTATGTTGCCTCGCGGCTTATATCGCGCAACAAAGTAAGTGCATATCAAGCCGTCTTTCTCTGAAGTCGCTTTACCCATTCCAAATAAGGTGCTACTTTTCCACACCACCTGAAAAAACAAATTCGCTTTTTGAAAAATATTTTTCGAATCAATACGTAAACGAAAACATCATCTTAACTCAATTAAATGTTAAACCGATCATATTGCATTGAATATTCGCACGCGGGATGTTGCATTTATAACTATGACCATGATCGATAGCAGAGATGTACATTAAACAACAAATAAAAAGTAAGAAAAACCAACGCAAAGTACTTGCAAACTCTTTTTTCTAAAATGCAAAGGTATTAGAGAGTAAACTTACTTGGGTAAAATGTGCAGTGTTCTGAGAACCCTCACCACCAAAATTGTAACTATGTTTGCACACTTCAGAGTACCTGAAAAAAAATAATTCGATGTCACCAAATTCAATATTTCCAATAAACAGTGCGCTTTCTCTTCTACAATTTCTCATTAATTAATATAAAAAAAATCTCATAGAATCGTTACTTCTCATATTCACTTTGTAAAACTGAAACAGAACGTAAAAAACCAGTCAAGATTTAACATGGCGAATAACAAATCAATCAGTTAATACACTAAACAAAGTCTATGCAACAAAAACAAAACCGAAAACAAAAAAACCCTAAACATATCATTTTATTGATCTTTTAAAAAATGGCACATTTGCCCTATCACTAATTTGTGTTAAGTATAGAAATGGAAGCAATTAAAAAACTAACCACTTCTTCACCATGTCTGCTGCAGACGCTTCCTGTTCGCCAGAGAGACATTCAAAGCCTAAATTTTCTCCTTGGTCTGCAACATTTGAGTGCTGCAACCTTTGAATACCAGATAAATACACAGCATACTTCTGGGCAGATGCAGACAACTCGGCATTCAACTGTAACGAAGGAACGTTGTGGATTTTGCGAAATACATTGTGAGCTCTCAGCGCCACTTGATCGAATTCGTTAGCATTTAAATCAATTCGTGTTCCAAGTGAGTTTAATGTGCCACCACCGTTTTGACTATCCAATGTGCCAGTTGCAGTATCACCAGCTGCTATGCCAGCAACCCAATTGGAACTACTGACCTGCATCACACTACTTGCTAAACTCTCTAAATTGCTGCACGTACTGCTTGAATCAAAAGAACCAGCTAGCACGTTTTCTTTGTATTTGGAAACTATGTTGCCTCGCGGCTTATATCGCGCAACAAAGTAAGTGCATATCAAGCCGTCTTTCTCTGAAGTCGCTTTACCCATTCCAAATAAGGTGCTACTTTTCCACACCACCTGAAAAAACAAATTCGCTTTTTGAAAAATATTTTTCGAATCAATACGTAAACGAAAACATCATCTTAACTCAATTAAATGTTAAACCGATCATATTGCATTGAATATTCGCACGCGGGATGTTGCATTTATAACTATGACCATGATCGATAGCAGAGATGTACATTAAACAACAAATAAAAAGTAAGAAAAACCAACGCAAAGTACTTGCAAACTCTTTTTTCTAAAATGCAAAGGTATTAGAGAGTAAACTTACTTGGGTAAAATGTGCAGTGTTCTGAGAACCCTCACCACCAAAATTGTAACTATGTTTGCACACTTCAGAGTACCTGAAAAAAAATAATTCGATGTCACCAAATTCAATATTTCCAATAAACAGTGCGCTTTCTCTTCTACAATTTCTCATTAATTAATATAAAAAAAATCTCATAGAATCGTTACTTCTCATATTCACTTTGTAAAACTGAAACAGAACGTAAAAAACCAGTCAAGATTTAACATGGCGAATAACAAATCAATCAGTTAATACACTAAACAAAGTCTATGCAACAAAAACAAAACCGAAAACAAAAAAACCCTAAACATATCATTTTATTGATCTTTTAAAAAATGGCACATTTGCCCTATCACTAATTTGTGTTAAGTATAGAAATGGAAGCAATTAAAAAACTAACCACTTCTTCACCATGTCTGCTGCAGACGCTTCCTGTTCGCCAGAGAGACATTCAAAGCCTAAATTTTCTCCTTGGTCTGCAACATTTGAGTGCTGCAACCTTTGAATACCAGATAAATACACAGCATACTTCTGGGCAGATGCAGACAACTCGGCATTCAACTGTAACGAAGGAACGTTGTGGATTTTGCGAAATACATTGTGAGCTCTCAGCGCCACTTGATCGAATTCGTTAGCATTTAAATCAATTCGTGTTCCAAGTGAGTTTAATGTGCCACCACCGTTTTGACTATCCAATGTGCCAGTTGCAGTATCACCAGCTGCTATGCCAGCAACCCAATTGGAACTACTGACCTGCATCACACTACTTGCTAAACTCTCTAAATTGCTGCACGTACTGCTTGAATCAAAAGAACCAGCTAGCACGTTTTCTTTGTATTTGGAAACTATGTTGCCTCGCGGCTTATATCGCGCAACAAAGTAAGTGCATATCAAGCCGTCTTTCTCTGAAGTCGCTTTACCCATTCCAAATAAGGTGCTACTTTTCCACACCACCTGAAAAAACAAATTCGCTTTTTGAAAAATATTTTTCGAATCAATACGTAAACGAAAACATCATCTTAACTCAATTAAATGTTAAACCGATCATATTGCATTGAATATTCGCACGCGGGATGTTGCATTTATAACTATGACCATGATCGATAGCAGAGATGTACATTAAACAACAAATAAAAAGTAAGAAAAACCAACGCAAAGTACTTGCAAACTCTTTTTTCTAAAATGCAAAGGTATTAGAGAGTAAACTTACTTGGGTAAAATGTGCAGTGTTCTGAGAACCCTCACCACCAAAATTGTAACTATGTTTGCACACTTCAGAGTACCTGAAAAAAAATAATTCGATGTCACCAAATTCAATATATTTAATAAACAGTGTTTTTTTTCTACTATTTCTTATAAAATAATATTTAAAAAACTTATATAAATATTAATTTTCATATTTATTTTGTAAAACTGAGGTAGAATGTAAATTATCAGTCGTGATGTACAGGGTTTATGCAAAATATAAAACATTTTTTTGAGAAAATATAAAACTTTTGTTAGTAAAATATAAAATATTGTTTAAGAAAATATAATACATTTTTAAGAATATATAAAATGTATAAGAATATATAAAACATTTAATTAGTTAATTAAAAGTTTTATATTTTAAATATAAAACATTTAATTAAGTAATTACTCTATAAAACTTTGGAATTGAAAGGTTCTTTTATAACAGAAAAGAACTATAAAAAAAAAAGGACGTTGGTTGTTAGTTGGTAATTAGGATACATATAGATTTAACGTGTAAAAAATTAGGCGTTAATTCTATATGTATTGATTTATTTTAAAGTTAAAAGTATTATTCTATATAATTAAAAATTTTAATGATAAATTGAAAAAAGAAGGCTAGAGAATGGGAGGTAGTAACTGAAGTTTTAATTATACTTTGAACTTGATGTTTAAATAAACAAATTTGTTCCTCTGTGCAGCAGCCTTGTTTATAAAGATTTGTGTTTAGGAGTTAAAAATTTAAGAGAAGATTGTAACCATAAAAAGGTAGCCTCTTCGACTGTAGTGGGTTTATCTGGCCACTACTACTCATTTAAATTCACCTTGGGAGGTGAATAACATAAAAGATTAAAAAATCGATAAAAACTTAAAAATAAAATTTTTATTAATAATATGTTTCCAAATGATTAAAAAAATCATTCAAAGAAAAAACAAAAAACATATTCGTTTAATATAAATTTAAAGATTTTTAAATTTTATTTATGACACGGTTATTACCGTTAGTCCGGTTAAAAATTACGCCACTTTCATATAAAAACTAGCTTAATGAAGGTTAAGCATTTCTTTTTCAAAACAGAAAAAACAGTATAAAATAACATTAAATCTTTTTACCTATGTGTTAGCCTAACAAATGATTCAAATATTAGTGAACCTGCTATGATAGCTGTTATTGTTGGTTATAATAGTTAATAATAATAGTTAATACTAATTTAGTTAATAATAATAGTTAATAATTGTTTTAGTTAATAATATTATAGTTATAGTGTTAAAGTTGGTTATAATAATTCATAGTTTTATTAAAAATCTTTAAAAAACCCAATAAAACCCAGATTTTCCCAGGCTTTATTGAGTTTTTTCAGGCAGGTTTTATTGGGTTTTATTGTGCAGGTTTTTTAATGCCAGCTGTTTAGTTGGTACCTGAACAGGATAATTTTTTGAGCCAACTATCAATTTTTTTATCATAATTTAAAGTTTAGAATCAGAATTTTAAGTTTGGAATAAAAGTTTTATATTTATAAAATATTTAGTTTTAATATGGTGAATAATGTTCATTTTAGTTTTAAGTTTATATTAAGTACAATTAAAAATATAAAAATAACTATATCCATATTAAATAAATGCTTTTTTTTATCCAAAGAAAACTTTTTAAATGCAATATACAAGCAATCATGCCTTACTATGCTTATAAATAAAATATATTATTCAAGCTTTATTTTGTTGTTTTAATCAATAAATGAAATATGAAATAGAAAGAAAAAAAAAGTACATTTATTACAAAGGATATTGTAAGAACCATAAGAACAATAAGTCAATTCTTAAAGAAATAAAGTTAAAAGAAATTGCAGAAGAAGTTGAAATATCAGTTTCTGTAACACGTTCTATTTCCAATAAAATCAGTTAAGTGACTTAGTGATGATGAAATTGCATCAGTAAAAAAAGAAAGGCACATCTCTTATGACGAGACACTAAAATCTGAAATTCAATTGTTAATTGAGCGAGATCCATCTCATACATTAGCATTATTGAGAAACATTCTTGTTAAAGGGAATATTAATGCATCAATACCAACAATATCTAAGTATTTGAAGTTGATGGAGTTAACTAGAAAACAACTTACAATGGCATCAAAAGAAAGGAACTAGCCGCAAGACGTTGATTTAAGACAAATTTTTGCAGGACTATTATTTCGATTCCTGACAATAAATTAATATTACTAGATGAAACAGGCTTTAACTTACATACATCTAAGCAATATGGCTATTCTATAAAGAATACAAAATTTTTTGATACAGTGCCAGTAAACCATGGAAAGAACGTAAGTCATATAGCCGCTATAACAGTTAATGATATTCTAAGCTTTAAGATAGTGGATATGATGGCAATCTTTTTTGCGATTTTATAACCAACAATTTAAGACTGTATTTCCAAATAAATCCCCATTCTGTTCTAGTATGGGATAATTGTTCGTTTCATCGTCAAAGAGATATAATCAATTTGTTTCAGTTTACTTTTTGCCACTTATTTACTGCAATTGAACCTGAACGAAGAATAGTTAAGTTGTATTAAAGATAATTATACTTCTATAAGGTCGTTTCAACAAAAATAGCAAACAAGTAAAGGCTATATTAAACTTGCTTATACCAAGCATTAACATTGATTTTTGTGGATGGTAGAGTAATATGAGAAGATGGGTTTTAAAAGGCATAGCAAGATAAGAATTTTAATAAAGTTAATAATTTGTTATATATAACATATCTTTAAATATAATGAGTTATAGTTATACAAAAACTCTTTATTCTTTATAAATTTATGAATAACATTATATATCATAAATGCACAACATCAAAAACGAAAAAAGTTTTATATTTTCTTAAAGACTCTTTTATTTCTTTTTGAATGTTTTATAATTTTTTAAAATTTGTTAAAAGACTTTTTAGAAAATGTTAATTATATTCTTAAAAAATAATTTAAACTTTTTTAAAAAAGATTTTAAATTTGCTTAATGAATGTTTTAAATTTTCTTAAAAAGAATTCATATTTTGCATAAACCCTGTAACATGGCGAAAAACAAATCAATACGTTAATACACTAAACAAAGTTTATGCAACAATAACAAAACCGAAAACAACAACCCAAAACATAGCATTTTATTGATCTTTAAAAAAAAATGACACATTTGCCCTATCAACAATATGTGTTTAGTATAGAAACGGAAGCATTTAAATAACTAACCAGTCCTTCACCATGTTTGCTGCAGACGCTTCCTGTTCGCCAGAGAGACATTCAAAGCCTAAATTTTCTCCTTGGTCTGCAACATTTGAGTGCTCCAACCTTTTAATACCAGATAAATACACAGCATACTTCTGGGCAGACGCAGACAACTCGGCATTCAACTGTAACTCAGGAACGTTGTGGATTTTGCGAAATACATTGTGAGCTCTCAACCCCACTTGATCGAATTCGTTAGCATTTAAATCATTTTGATTTCCAAGTGAGTTTAATGTGCCATCACCGTTTTGACTATCCAATGTGCTAGTTGCAGAATCACCAGCTGTTATGCCAGCAACCCCAACTGAACTACTGACCTGCATCGAACTACTTGCCAAACTCTCTAAATTGCTGCACGTACTGCTTGAATCAAAAGAACCAGCTAGCACGTTTTCTTTGTATTCGGAAACCATGTTACCGCGCGGTTTATATAGGGCAACAAAGTAAGTGCATATCAGGCCGTCTTTCTCTGAAGTTGCTTTACCCATTCCCAATAAGGTGCTACTTTTCCACACCACCTACAAAAACAAACTCGCTTTTTGAAAAAGATTTTTTGAATCAATACATAAACGAAAACAGCATCTTTACTGAATTAAATGTTAAACCGATCATATTACATTGAATATATGCACGCGGGATAATAGTTATATAACCATGATATCGATCATGGTTATATAACTATAACCATGATCGATAGCAGAGATGTAAATTAAAGAACAAATAAAATGTAAGAAAAACAACACAAATTATGTGCCAACTCTTTTCTCTAAAATGCAAAGGTATTAGAGAGTAAACTTACTTGGGTAAAATGTGCAGTGTTCAGAGAACCCTCACCACCAAAATTGTAATTATGTTTGCACACTTCAGAGTACCTGAAAAAAAAATTGAATGTCATCGAATTAAATAATTCGAATAAACAGTGTGCTTTCCCTTCTACAATATCTCACAAATAATATTAAAAAAATATCATAGAAATATTACTTCTCATAATTACTTTGAATAACAAAAACAGAACGAAAAAAACCAGTCAAAATTTAACATATTGCGAAAAACAAATCAATACGTTAATACACTAAACAAAGTTTATGCAACAATAACAAAACCGAAAACAACAACCCAAAACATAGCATTTTATTGATCTTTAAAAAAAAATGACACATTTGCCCTATCAACAATATGTGTTTAGTATAGAAACGGAAGCATTTAAATAACTAACCAGTCCTTCACCATGTTTGCTGCAGACGCTTCCTGTTCGCCAGAGAGACATTCAAAGCCTAAATTTTCTCCTTGGTCTGCAACATTTGAGTGCTCCAACCTTTTAATACCAGATAAATACACAGCATACTTCTGGGCAGACGCAGACAACTCGGCATTCAACTGTAACTCAGGAACGTTGTGGATTTTGCGAAATACATTGTGAGCTCTCAACCCCACTTGATCGAATTCGTTAGCATTTAAATCATTTTGATTTCCAAGTGAGTTTAATGTGCCATTACCATTTTGACTATCCAATGTGCTAGTTGCAGAATCACCAGCTGTTATGCCAGCAACCCCAACTGAACTACTGACCTGCATCGCACTACTTGCCAAACTCTCTAAATTGCTGCACGTACTGCTTGAATCAAAAGAACCAGCTAGCACGTTTTCTTTGTATTCGGAAACCATGTTACCGCGCGGTTTATATAGGGCAACAAAGTAAGTGCATATCAGGCCGTCTTTCTCTGAAGTTGCTTTACCCATTCCCAATAAGGTGCTACTTTTCCACACCACCTACAAAAACAAACTCGCTTTTTGAAAAAGATTTTTTGAATCAATACATAAACGAAAACAGCATCTTTACTGAATTGAATGTTAAACCGATCATATTACATTGAATATATGCACGTGGGATGTTGCATTTATAACTATAACCATGATCGATAGCAGAGATGTAAATTAAAAAACAAATAAAATGTAAGAAAAACAACACAAATTATGTGCCAACTCTGTTCTCTAAAATGCAAAGGTATTAGAGAGTAAACTTACTTGGGTAAAATGTGCAGTGTTCAGAGAACCCTCACCACCAAAATTGTAATTATGTTTGCACACTTCAGAGTACCTGAAAAAAAAATTGGATGTCATCGAATTAAATAATTCGAATAAACAGTGTGCTTTCCCTTCTACAATATCTCACAAATAATATTAAAAAAATATCATAGAAATATTACTTCTCATAATTACTTTGAATAACAAAAACAGAACGAAAAAAACCAGTCAAAATTTAACATATTGCGAAAAACAAATCAATACGTTAATACACTAAACAAAGTTTATGCAACAATAACAAAACCGAAAACAACAACCCAAAACATAGCATTTTATTGATCTTTAAAAAAAAATGACACATTTGCCCTATCAACAATATGTGTTTAGTATAGAAACGGAAGCATTTAAATAACTAACCAGTCCTTCACCATGTTTGCTGCAGACGCTTCCTGTTCGCCAGAGAGACATTCAAAGCCTAAATTTTCTCCTTGGTTTGCAACATTTGAGTGCTCCAACCTTTTAATACCAGATAAATACACAGCATACTTCTGGGCAGACGCAGACAACTCGGCATTCAACTGTAACTCAGGAACGTTGTGGATTTTGCGAAATACATTGTGAGCTCTCAACCCCACTTGATCGAATTCGTTAGCATTTAAATCATTTTGATTTCCAAGTGAGTTTAATGTGCCATCACCGTTTTGACTATCCAATGTGCTAGTTGCAGAATCACCAGCTGTTATGCCAGCAACCCCAACTGAACTACTGACCTGCATCGCACTACTTGCCAAACTCTCTAAATTGCTGCACGTACTGCTTGAATCAAAAGAACCAGCTAGCACGTTTTCTTTGTATTCGGAAACCATGTTACCGCGCGGTTTATATAGGGCAACAAAGTAAGTGCATATCAGGCCGTCTTTCTCTGAAGTTGCTTTACCCATTCCCAATAAGGTGCTACTTTTCCACACCACCTACAAAAACAAACTCGCTTTTTGAAAAAGATTTTTTGAATCAATACATAAACGAAAACAGCATCTTTACTGAATTGAATGTTAAACCGATCATATTACATTGAATATATGCACGCGGGATGTTGCATTTATAACTATAACCATGATCGATAGCAGAGATGTAAATTAAAGAACAAATAAAATGTAAGAAAAACAACACAAATTATGTGCCAACTCTTTTCTCTAAAATGCAAAGGTATTAGAGAGTAAACTTACTTGGGTAAAATGTGCAGTGTTCAGAGAACCCTCACCACCAAAATTGTAATTATGTTTGCACACTTCAGAGTACCTGAAAAAAAAATTGGATGTCATCGAATTAAATAATTCGAATAAACAGTGTGCTTTCCCTTCTACAATATCTCACAAATAATATTAAAAAAATATCATAGAAATATTACTTCTCATAATTACTTTGAATAACAAAAACAGAACGAAAAAAAACAGTCAAAATTTAACATATTGCGAAAAACAAATCAATACGTTAATACACTAAACAAAGTTTATGCAACAATAACAAAACCAAAAACAACAACCCAAAACATAGCATTTTATTGATCTTTAAAAAAAAATGACACATTTGCCCTATCAACAATATGTGTTTAGTATAGAAACGGAAGCATTTAAATAACTAACCAGTCCTTCACCATGTTTGCTGCAGACGCTTCCTGTTCGCCAGAGAGACATTCAAAGCCTAAATTTTCTCCTTGGTCTGCAACATTTAAGTGCTCCAACCTTTTAATACCAGATAAATACACAGCATACTTCTGGGCAGACGCAGACAACTCGGCATTCAACTGTAACTCAGGAACGTTGTGGATTTTGCGAAATACATTGTGAGCTCTCAACCCCACTTGATCGAATTCGTTAGCATTTAAATCATTTTGATTTCCAAGTGAGTTTAATGTGCCATCACCGTTTTGACTATCCAATGTGCTAGTTGCAGAATCACCAGCTGTTATGCCAGCAACCCCAACTGAACTACTGACCTGCATCGCACTACTTGCCAAACTCTCTAAATTGCTGCACGTACTGCTTGAATCAAAAGAACCAGCTAGCACGTTTTCTTTGTATTCGGAAACCATGTTACCGCGCGGTTTATATAGGGCAACAAAGTAAGTGCATATCAGGCCGTCTTTCTCTGAAGTTGCTTTACCCATTCCCAATAAGGTGCTACTTTTCCACACCACCTACAAAAACAAACTCGCTTTTTGAAAAAGATTTTTTGAATCAATACATAAACGAAAACAGCATCTTTACTGAATTGAATGTTAAACCGATCATATTACATTGAATATATGCACGCGGGATGTTGCATTTATAACTATAACCATGATCGATAGCAGAGATGTAAATTAAAAAACAAATAAAATGTAAGAAAAACAACACAAATTATGTGCCAACTCTTTTCTCTAAAATGCAAAGGTATTAGAGAGTAAACTTACTTGGGTAAAATGTGCAGTGTTCAGAGAACCCTCACCACCAAAATTGTAATTATGTTTGCACACTTCAGAGTACCTGAAAAAAAAATTGGATGTCATCGAATTAAATAATTCGAATAAACAGTGTGCTTTCCCTTCTACAATATCTCACAAATAATATTAAAAAAATATCATAGAAATATTACTTCTCATAATTACTTTGAATAACAAAAACAGAACGAAAAAAACCAGTCAAAATTTAACATATTGCGAAAAACAAATCAATACGTTAATACACTAAACAAAGTTTATGCAACAATAACAAAACCGAAAACAACAACCCAAAACATAGCATTTTATTGATCTTTAAAAAAAAATGACACATTTGCCCTATCAACAATATATGTTTAGTATAGAAACGGAAGCATTTAAATAACTAACCAGTCCTTCACCATGTTTGCTGCAGACGCTTCCTGTTCGCCAGAGAAACATTCAAAGCCTAAATTTTCTCCTTGGTCTGCAACATTTGAGTGCTCCAACCTTTTAATACCAGATAAATACACAGCATACTTTTGGGCAGACGCAGACAACTCGGCATTCAACTGTAACTCAGGAACGTTGTGGATTTTGCGAAATACATTGTGAGCTCTCAACCCCACTTGATCGAATTCGTTAGCATTTAAATCATTTTGATTTCCAAGTGAGTTTAATGTGCCATCACCGTTTTGACTATCCAATGTGCTAGTTGCAGAATCACCAGCTGTTATGCCAGCAACCCCAACTGAACTACTGACCTGCATCGCACTACTTGCCAAACTCTCTAAATTGCTGCACGTACTGCTTGAATCAAAAGAACCAGCTAGCACGTTTTCTTTGTATTCGGAAACCATGTTACCGCGCGGTTTATATAGGGCAACAAAGTAAGTGCATATCAGGCCGTCTTTCTCTGAAGTTGCTTTACCCATTCCCAATAAGGTGCTACTTTTCCACACCACCTACAAAAACAAACTCGCTTTTTGAAAAAGATTTTTTGAATCAATACATAAACGAAAACAGCATCTTTACTGAATTAAATGTTAAACCGATCATATTACATTGAATATATGCACGCGGGATAATAGTTATATAACCATGATATCGATCATGGTTATATAACTATAACCATGATCGATAGCAGAGATGTAAATTAAAGAACAAATAAAATGTAAGAAAAACAACACAAATTATGTGCCAACTCTTTTCTCTAAAATGCAAAGGTATTAGAGAGTAAACTTACTTGGGTAAAATGTGCAGTGTTCAGAGAACCCTCACCACCAAAATTGTAATTATGTTTGCACACTTCAGAGTACCTGAAAAAAAAATTGGATGTCATCGAATTAAATAATTCGAATAAACAGTGTGCTTTCCCTTCTACAATATCTCACAAATAATATTAAAAAAATATCATAGAAATATTACTTCTCATAATTACTTTGAATAACAAAAACAGAACGAAAAAAACCAGTCAAAATTTAACATATTGCGAAAAACAAATCAATACGTTAATACACTAAACAAAGTTTATGCAACAATAACAAAACCGAAAACAACAACCCAAAACATAGCATTTTATTGATCTTTAAAAAAAAATGACACATTTGCCCTATCAACAATATGTGTTTAGTATAGAAACGGAAGCATTTAAATAACTAACCAGTCCTTCACCATGTTTGCTGCAGACGCTTCCTGTTCGCCAGAGAGACATTCAAAGCCTAAATTTTCTCCTTGGTCTGCAACATTTGAGTGCTCCAACCTTTTAATACCAGATAAATACACAGCATACTTCTGGGCAGACGCAGACAACTCGGCATTCAACTGTAACTCAGGAACGTTGTGGATTTTGCGAAATACATTGTGAGCTCTCAACCCCACTTGATCGAATTCGTTAGCATTTAAATCATTTTGATTTCCAAGTGAGTTTAATGTGCCATCACCTTCTTCTAATTCAGCAACCCTTGTGAAACCACTGACATGTTTTGTACTACCAGCTATGTTGTCTAAATTATTGCATGTTCTTGTTGAACTAAAGGAACCGCTTAGCACATTGTTTTTGTATTCAGAATCTATGTTTCCTCTAGGTATATATCGAGCAACAAAGTAAGTGCATATCATGCCGTCTTTTTTGGATGTTGCAGTTCCCATTCCAAAATAGATGCTACTTTTCCATACTACCTTTAAAAAAATTATAAAAATTTTTTTTAAATTAAAAAGGAAATGAAAATGGCTGACCTTCTGAAACAAATGTTAAACTTATTATATTAAACTTAAAATTAATGTTTTTTTTTATTGTTTTTTATTTAGTCACCTCTATCAAGGGTGTAAGCAACGATTGTTGAGTTAGGACATACTAAAAAAAAATATTTTGTTGAAGGGCAAGGAATTGGTTGAAAGAAGACTTGAAAACTTAAAGGATGTATGAGTCTGGAAATATGACAGTAAGTAAGTGGAAACTGTGAGACAGTGGAAATAAAGTGAGTCCTAAGGCATTAAAAGGAGTTAATGTTTTCAGATTAATAAGAGATTTGTAAATTCTAGAGTATGAATTTAGGAATTAAAAATGGTGAGCAAGATGAAAAAAAGGGTCTTTAGCATAAGTAAAATAAACAATAAAGAATAAAGAGAAAGGTGAGGTGCTAAAGGGAAGCACATAGAAAAATGGTCAGAGGATTCAAATTTGATTCCTCATAAAATAGGTCACTTGATGTAAAAATATATCCCAAAGCAAAGCATTGACTATTAGAGTCTTTGTAAACCAAAAGATAATAGTCATCAATACTGAGATTGAAAAAAAGAAAAACAAATTTGTCTCACAAAGAAGAACAAAATTCAAAATAGTCTCACAAAGAGCAAGTAAGTCTGGAAAATAATTTAAGTTAAAAATTAATAAAAGGAAATTAATTTAAGTAAATATTACAAGAAGTAAAATTCTACTAATATCATAGTACCATAAATATTTGTATAATATATATTGAAATAATAGGTGGTGGTGATGGTGGTCCTTTATGTTAAACACTTTTGAGATCTTTAGTTATGAATAAAGTTAAAAAATACATGACTTTATCATAAATAGAGAAAAGCACCCTCAGAAATAAGCTATGTAATTGATTCAGTTATGCTAATTAGCTTTAAATTATAACTTAGGGCTGCTTGTGACCTTGACAATGCACATCAAAAAGATTAACAGAGGCACCATAATTTCACAACACAGCACTGTCTATACTATGATATTTTACAGCTGTTGATTTGAATCAACCTCTTTGAGAACTACCAGAGAGTTCATAAAATCTTACCAGCACCCAGTCTCAGAAACATTAAACTGAGTTTTAGAGCTGTACACTCATTAGGAGATAATAAAAAGAGTTGCGTAGCCATTATTAAAAAAACATCAGCAAAAATCTGAGCTGAAAAAATCCAGCATTCATCATCCTAGGTTAGAGAAAATATAACATAGGTTTATCTACACTGACTTAATAGGTGAAAAAAGGGTGCATGGCTGGTCAATCCCAGCGGGCATTTATTTTTAAAAGTTACATTCTAAATGTCTTCTAAACATTCTTACATAAAGAACGTTTAAAAAACATTTAAAAGACATTTAGAACTTAACTTTTAAAAAGAAATGCCCGTAGGGATAGAAATACTCTGCTTACCCCTATATTCTTTGTCTAAAAGACATACTACAAGATAGTAACAGGATGCAGATGACATCTTCTCTAGATGTGTATTTTAATTACGACACTATCTCCATACTTTAGTTAACCAAGAGACCCAAAACAGGGTTTTTTAAGTCAGAGTTTATTTATCCTTACCAAAAAAAACGAACCTTACAAGCCACCAGAACATGAATACACAGGCAGTACAAGATGTTACCAGTAGCAGAATGATTATTTTGATCATGAACCTGAAACTAACTGAAATGTAGATAAAGGAATGTGATATACCAGACAAGACCTGGAATGTGAATTATCTGGACGGATAGTAGATTTACATTAAAATTGAAATAAAAAGTAAGAATAAGAACGCAAATTACTTGCAAACTCTTCTATTTAAAATGCAAAAGAATTAGAAAGTAAACTTACTTGGGTAAAATGTGCTGTGTCTTGAGAACCCTCACCACCAAAATTGTAATTATGTTTGCACACTTCAGAGTACCTGAAAAAAAAATTTGATGTCACCAAATTACATATTTCCAATAACAGTGTGCTTTTCGTTTTATAAAAACATCATATAAATAATACTTCTCATATTTACTTTTTAAAACTGAAAAAAAACGTAAAAAAAAACCCGTCAATGATTTAACAAAAATTTAATTGATTTAACAACTCAAAAAACAAATTAATCTAAAAAAAAAAAAATAACAAACCAAAAACAAAAATCATAAAGATAACATTTTATTGATTATTAATAATTAGCAATATGTGTTTAATATAGAAAAAGAAGCATTTAAATAACTAACCAGTCCTTCACCATGTTTGCTGCAGACGCTTCCTTTTCGTCAGAGAAACATTGAAAACCTAAATTTTCTCCTTCCCCTGCAATATTTGAATGTTGCAAGGTTTGAATATCAGATAAATACAAAGCATATTTCTGGGCAGATGCAGACAACTCTGCATTCAACTGTAATTCAGGAACCTCGTGGATTTTGCGAAATATATTGTGAGCTTTCAACCCTACTTGATCAAACTGATTAGTATTTAAATCATTTTGCTTTCCAAGTAAGTTTAATGAGCCATCACCAGTTTGACTATCGAATGTGATAGTTGCAGAATTACCTACTGCTATGCCACCAACCCCGTTAAAACCACTGACCTGCATCACACTACTTGCATAACTGTCTAAATTGCTGCATGTTCTGGCTGAATCAAAGAAACCAGCTACTACATTTTCTTTGTATTTGAAAACTATGTTTCCGCGTGGTCTATATCGGGCAACAATGTAAGTGCATATCAAGTCATCTTTTTTAAAAGTTGCTTTTCCCATTCCAAAATAAGTGCTACTTTTCCATACCACCTAAAAACAAATTTGCTTTTTAAAAAAAAACTTTGAACAGGGCCATAAAAATGGCAGCTTTACTGAAATTAATATTAAACCAATCATATGATATTGACAATTTTTAAGTGGTAAGTTGTATCTCTAACTCAGCCCCTAGAGTTGGCATTTGGGAACACTGATCTAATTGTCTACCTGACAGTGTCTGACGTTGATAATTTTTTTGTTAAACTAGTTTTTATGTTGTTGTGATGTAAATACTACTTTTCTTAAATTTTAAAACTTTCATTTACTTTTATAAATAAAGATAAAATTGCAAAACAAACTTTTTTTATTTAAACTTTAAATGAAATAATAAAAATAAAAAATGGAAAAATAAACAGTTTATTAAAGTTCTGAATAAAATAATTAAAACAGCAAAACAAACATTTTATTATAATAATTAAAACTTTTTAATATAACAATTTTTTAATATAATAATTTTTTTTTATAATAATTGAAACAAAAACAGAAAAAATAACTTATTATTTATAAAATAACTTACACAAAAGTTTTAGTTTTACTCTTATAAGGAACTTAAATGTTATAATATAAGTTCCTTATAAATGGTAAAAATCTGTGTTTGTTTTAAAAATGTTTAGGCAAACGTTAATGTTTGAAAGAAAAGTTAGCAAATTCAGCATTTGTTTTTTTTTCAGTTTTATGCTAAACATTTACATGTTGGTGAATTTGTCAAACTTGGTTGCTAAATTTTGTGTTGACCTGATGATACCAACCTAAAACTATTTTAGGTCAGCAATTTTCTGCCAACTTAATTTCTCCTAATTTTGAGGAATGTTAACTAGAAAACTGATCAATAGTAATACGTGATCCCCACCACGTCCCTGGTAATGAGCTCAACTCGTTTCTCCGCGCAGCGGCCTTGTTTGTCAAGGTTCGTGTTTCGGAGTTATAGAGTTGAGAGAGGGTTATAGCCACAAATAAGTAGCCTCCTCGTCTGTAGTGGCCTTCTCGGCCTTGAGAAGGTGAATTAAAATAAAATAAAAAAATATGTATCAATACATAAAAAAAAACAGCATCTTTACTGAATTAAATGTTAAACTGAACATATTACATTGAAAATTTGCATGTGGGATGTTGCATTTATAACTATAACCATAATTGATAGCAGATGTAAATTAAAATTGAAATAGAAAGTAAGAAAAACAATGCAAATTACTTGCAAATTCTCTTCTTTAAAATGCAAAGAAATTAGAAAGTAAACTTACTTGGGTAAAATGTACAGTGTTCTGAGAACCCTCACCACTAAAATTATAACTATGTTTGCACACTTCAGAGTACCTGAAAAAAAATTTGATGATACAAAATTAACTATTTCCAGTAACAGTATGCTTTTTCTTCTACAACTTGCCATTACTTAATATAAAAAAATCTCTATAAATATTCATATCATTTTCACTTTGTAAAACTGAAACAAAAAAAAAAAAACAAGTAAAAAAACATGAAAAATGGATCAACTTCATTTAGTTATTGCAATAAAAAATGTCTATGTAATGTAGAAGTTACACAGACATTTTTTACAAAGAGAGTGGGGTGTTCAAGAAAGCGTGTACATACATGGCTTGCTTATTTTTCTCATGAATTTTTTCAAAAACTCAATTATTCAATCTTTTTTAACATAAAGCAGTGTATTCTAGGAGTGTTCAATTTCACTTTCCTTCCAAGAGAGTGGAAATTTTTTAAATAATTCATGTTTTTATAATGAAAAAATAAATTGTTTCAATTTATGTGACATAAAAAAAAGGTAAGTTTTTTTGTGTTTTCAACTTTCTGGGAAGTGAAAATAGTTTGGATTCAATCTATTTCCAATTTCTGGAAACTGGAAAACACATATAAAGAAAAATGTTAACAAAATTGTAATATTACTATTAATTAAATTTGATTTTACTTCCTAACACTTTCCAATCACTTTTCATTGGAAAATTCCTTAAAAAGTCTTTAAAAAAATTTATTTAATTCTTAGCTATTTTATCAATTTCCGACCACCTGGAGCTTATTAAGACCTGTCCTAGTTTATGATTTTTCAAAGAAAAAAAAGTTTTAATGTAAAATTAAGAACTACTGTTTGCTAAATGAGCTGACTTGATTACGCAAAGATGTTACGCAAAGATGTTATGCAAAAATAAGTATCTATTATACCTCATAACTGAGCTTAAAACTAAAAATGGTTTATTGTTAATTTTAAAAAATAAATATATTTATTTCCGTTTATGACTTAAAATTTTTTTTTATCATATAACTAAATATAATTTAATTATTTATTTAGTTTTAAAAAATACATTTAATTTACGAACACTTTCCAAATCAGAGGAGGTATAAAGCAAAATCAAACACCCCTAGTATTTTCTAGTTTTTAATCCATTTGCCAGAAACTTTTCTTATAATGTTCTTTTGCCAGTCTCTTAATTAGTTATGAAAATTGTCAAATGTTTTGTTGAATCAACAAAGCGTTTTGGTTTTGTTTGTCTATAACTTTTTGAAGTTTTACAGTGAAAAATCTCTATTTTTTAGCAAACACTAAATGCATACATAGAGGGGTAGGAGTCATTGAAAGCATATAAGGAGGAAGAAATACATAGAGGGGTAGGAGTCATTGAAAGCATATAAAGAGGAAGGAATACATAGAAGAAGGAATACATAGAGGGGTAGGAGTCATTGAAAGCATATAAGGAGGAACTTTGTATAAGGAGGAAGGGGGGAGGTCAGTAGTTTTACTTTGTAGGTACTTTATGGATGCTCCCGATTGAAAAAAAATATTTGTTAAAATGAATGAATTGCCTCAAAAATTATTCTATACCTATCAAAAAAATAATAATAAAGCAAGAAACAACAAATCTGAAAGAAAAAAATTTAAAACTATGAACAATTGTGCTGGGTTTCACAATAAAAATCATGTTGGGTTTCACAATTTTTTATTCAACTGCTAAAGTCTTTATCTCAAATATAAATAAAGAATTTAGTTTTAATAAAAGATTTAAAAACCATTTAATGATTTTTAGTAAGGAGGCTAAAAAATCTTTTTATCCTAAATGTTTTCACAGAAAACCATCACTACCAGTATATAAATTATATACTTAACTTCCTACAAACATGTAGATAAAAAAATAAATTGCAAAAATGAATTTTTCCAGAAAAAATCAATTGCATAATAATGTGAAAACTAATTGTGATTTATGATTGCCTTGACCACTCAAAATTTACTGCTTTAGTTATTTTTAAACTTTAACTCTTTGACAGCTTGTGGTCATGACAGCATTCCATCAGTCATTAAAAATTGTTTCCAAGAATTCTCTTCAATAATCATAAAACTATTAAACAAGTGATTAATTTTGTTTTTCTGTTTGCATAAAAAACATAAAAAAATACTTTATACAAAGTGTTTTCTATTCTCTGCTTTCTATAACAACTACAATTTAATTATAAATGTTTTAAATGTTTTCTTTTCAACTCAAAATGTGAATCTATCAACAGAGAGAAATACTATTTGTCACTTTAAATGTACTGATATAAATAATAATAGGAAGAGTGGACATCCCTGCAATACATCAAAGGCTGAAGACAAGTCAATTATGCTTTCAAGTAAGCAAAATAGATGTGTAACAATCCAGAAAATAACATCTAACTTCAATGCTGCTAATAATAAAACTGTTTTAGAAATGTACAACTTCACTTGAAAACTTTTGGCTTGAATAGTGAAGTAGCTGTTTAGAAAATTCTTTTAAAAGCAATAAATTGAAAAAATCGCTTTAATGGGCTCTAGGACATCAAAACTGGACAAAAAATAGACTAATGAAATGTATTGTGAACAGATAAGTCTAAATTTCTTGTTTTTAATGCAAAGCAACAGATCTATGTGTGACAAACAGCTATTGAAAAATTCAATCAACATTTTATACAAACTACTGTCAAACATAGTGGAGTTTCAGTAAAAGTAAGGAGCTGCTTTGCTTCTAATCAGTTTGGTTACCTCGTGAAAATAAATGAAATTTTTAATAAGAACGGACATCATAAGATATTATGTAGAAATACCGTATCTTATGAAAGGTGTATAATCAGCCACAGGTTCAACATGCACAAGACACAAATTTAAGTATTGTACAAACTATTTGCAAAAAAAGAAAATTGCAAAGACATTTATGACATGTATGTCACAACCAGCTGATCTCTACCTAAATGAGTTACTATGGAAACAACTAGTCTTTTAGGTACTAAAAGAGTAGTTGTCTTATATCAACAACTTATTTGTCAATTTTTGAGTGTGGATTGATATTGCTCTTATTTATTATAACTTAATCAAAAGTGCCTAAAACTTGTACGTTCAGTATGGTAATTTTTTAATTTCAAGGATTGATTTATAATAAAATAGCAGACTTCGACGGGAAGCAAGAGCTTAATTATAATTTGAAAAAAAAGATAATTTTTTTATAAAAATAAAGCACTTTTTTTTTTCTTTATTTTGAGATATTGATTAGAAAAATTAAAAAAATTCTTGTACAAACTACATCGAATAAACAAAAAAGAAAGTTCCAATTGCAGATTGATTTTTTTTTAATACTTTGTTAATATTAAAATGTGATTGTTTATTTTCAGTAAAGTGCTAATAAATCACTGGATAGCTAGTGTGAAAATCTAAAGAAAATGCTCATCTATAGAGTTTTTTTCATAGCGCAATAAACAACACTTATTATGCTTATATTCTGTTAACCTTACAAGCTAATACTTGTAACAAGAATAAAATTGAATTTTGTGTTTAATAAGTAATTTATTTAATAAGTTAACAGATAGCTCGACTAAAAATAGAAAGCTCTCATTAAAAGCTGTTTAGAGGAACAGCTCGCATGGCACGCTTGTTTCATGAGAGCTTACTTTTTACTTTTTTTACTCCTGCCGGGGCTTGAAATAGCATATGTATATATAAACAAAAATAACATATAGCATTTTTATACATATAAACTAAAATAGCATATATGTGCATATAAATTGAGAGTCAAAAAAGGTCTTAAAGATTCATAAGCCTGGTTCATTCATAAACCAAATTCATAACAGATTTTTTGTACAACAATTACTTAAAGAAAGAATTTTGTAAAACAATCACTTTAAGCTAAATTTATACATACATACATATTTTGATTAAAAAAATTTATTAAACAAAAAATCAGAACTAATTTCTGCAGACATGAAAATAAAGTAGCTAAAAAATTATAAAAACAAACATATATTATACTAATCATTTTTTTTTTTTTTTTTAATTTTACTTTACCTCCTCAAGGCCGAGAAGGCCACTACAGACAAGGAGGCTACTTATTTTGTGGCTATGACCCTCTCTCAACTCTATAACTCCGAAACACGAACCTTGACGAACAAGGCCGCTGCGCGGAGAAACGAGTTGAGCGCGGTACTACCAGGGACGTGGTGGGGATCGAACTCCGAACCACTCATTTATGAAGCGAGCGCTCTACCACTACACCACTACCGCACATTTAACCTAAAAAACGTACATATTTAAAATCTTAATAAAATTTGAACGAGCGATTGTGATAATAAGATTTTTTTTTATAAAAAAGAATCATCGGGCTTGGTTTTTTCGCTGTAAACATTTATATTTTATGATACCGTAAAATTTATCATTTTTATTATTTGTCTTTTTTCATTCACAGACGTGATCACTTAACGGAAATATGTCGTAGTCAACAAAATATCATACAGACACTATACTTTAAAATTGCCTTAACTACACCGAGTAAAAATTGCCATAGAAATAGAAGAATTAGAATATTTTATTGAGATTTTTAACAATGTTTTTTTTGGGTTAAAGATTTGGCTCAAGACAAAGAACTAAAATTGTATAAATATTTAATTACTGTTATGTATGCTAACAAATAGATATTAAGTTTTTACTTTTCAAAACTAATATTATACATATTCTAAAAAATTAATTTTGACAAAAATACTGTAGTAAATGTAACTTTCTAATTACAGAAAAATACAGAATTTTTTACAAAAATTACAAAACTTTTTACAAAAATCATAGTATTTTTAGATTCAAATCCTTTTTTTAACATAAAAAAATAATTAACTTTTTAAAAAATTATTTATAACAACTTATAACTTTTTTATTGCATCAAACTCTGCCAATTAATAGAAGAAGGCCGAATTTCAGAAAACAACTTGATATATTAGCTGAACACCTTAATATTATAGAATGACAAAATTGGTTTAATATGCTTTTTTTTGATAAAAGGCACTTGAAAACCTAAAATAATCACTGGTAATGAAATACTGTTTTTATATATCTTTTATTTGTTTTATATATCTTTTATTTGTACTCACTAACTTTTTAAAAATGAAAAATAAATATTAGTTGCAAAGCCAAAATTACAAACTTAAAAAAAATAAGCATAATTTAATTATTTTAAACATTTTAATAGAGAGAAAGTAGTTAAATAAAAGTATAATAAAAAAAATGTAACATTTAATTTATTTAATATTATTAATTATTTTCATTTATTTATTAATTAATATTAAAAAAAAATCTATAATATTCTTAAAAAATTTTTTATATTGAACTTGTTTTGCATTAATTTATTATATAACAATACTTTAAAATTTAAAATTTAAAAAAAACCTGTTGAAAAACTAACCTAAGATAATATTTGTGACATTCTCAATCATATATATTACAGTAATATTTGTGACCAGATCTCAATCATTTATATTACAGTAATATCATTTGGTTATTTTGTGTCAATGCCGTCGCAAAACATGATAAAAAAATTTTTCATTGAACTTTTTACCCAAAAATATATAAATCAGTGATGGCGATTGCTTTAAATAAAATATTTTCAATCAATAACTTTGGCCAATCACAATTTGCAATTCTTGTTTGCTTAATTTGCCACTATTTTTACTTAGGTAACAATCGCGTTACTTAGGTAACAATCATGTTACTTAGGTAACATTCATGTTATTTAGGTAACAATCATGTTACTTAGGTAACAATTACGTTACCAACATCTTACTTTCTAACGACTAATAAACTATTTTGATCAAAATGAAGTTTTTAAAGATCAAGAAGAAGATCAAGAACTCCTCAGAACGAGATCAAGAACACCTCAGAACTAGATCAAGAACACCTCAGAACAAGATTAAGAACACCTCAGAACAAGATCAAGAACACCTTAGAACAAGATCAAGAACACCTCAGCAAAGTTTAAAAAAGTGTTATAGTAAAAGCTGAATGAATGAATGAATGAAATAATTGATCTAAATAAATAATTGAAAACTTTAACTTGTTAAAAAAATACAGAGTGGTAATAATATTTTAAAATATTTCTACTTAAAATGACATCATATTTTACATTCCAATATACCATCAAGCATTTATCAGTATATCAAATATAATAAGGCATATTAGTTATCCATTTCAGGCAAGCCGTATAATAATGTAGTAACATACAGGGTGTTAACACCAACAAAATTTGGTTTTAGCAACAGAGTATTATTGTATATTTATTTAAAATTTACATCATTTTTAAAAAAACCAAACATTACTTTAGTCAACAAAATAATAAAAAATTAATTGAAAGAAAAAAAATTAGACAACTTAAAATGAGACACCTTACAGTGAGACAACTTACAATGAGACAACTTACAGTGAGATAACTTACAATGAGACAACTTACAGTGAGATAACTTACAATGAGACAACTTACAGTGAGACAACTTACAGTGGGACAACTTACAGTAGTAACTTAATGGTTTAGTTTACAATTAAAAATAGTTTCATGATTTAAAAAATGTAAGTAATTTTATTAGGAAACCTTAATTCTTTAAAATGGTTTTATATATAATTCATTGCAATTAAACTGTTAATAAAATTTTAAAAATTTTTCAAAAGACCAACCATTCTTTAACAGCATCTTCTGCAGTCATTTCCTTTTTGTCACATTTGTATGCCAGGTTTTCTCCTTCATCTTTAATGTTTGAAGGTTTCAACACTTGCAATATTGCTAACTTAGCAGCATATTTCTTTGCATTTTCAGATAACTCCATATCCAATTGCAAATCAGCAACACCATGAATCTTACGAAAAATATTGTGCAACTGTAATCCTTGTTGAAAAAATGTTACTTGATCATTTTCTTCAATTCTAATTGCATTTGATTCCTTGCCACTTTCATCTATCACTTGATAATCATTTATAATAGAAACATAGTTCAAATTTTTACTTTGGGCTAATAAACTTTCTAGTTTATTGCATGGATTATTAAACTGAAATAATCCAGGTAAAACATTTTCTTTATATTGTGACATAATATTTCCTCGGGGTTTGTAAAGTGCAACAATATAAGTACAAAATAAACCATTTTTCTTAGAAACTGCTTTTCCCATACCAAAATACTTGCTGCTTCTCCACACTAACTAAATAAGAAAAAACCATTTTGTTAAATGATTTTGTTAAAAGTAGTAAAAAAATTTCAAATTTAAAAAAAAAAAATTACAAGTTTTTTTTTTTAAACATATATTCAAATCTTTCTTATTTTATTCCAGCTTAAATGACTTAGAAATGAAACTAAACAGATTAAATAGCTTGCTAACTAAGGACTACTTTTATGCTAACTAAAGACTACTTTTATGTTAATCTTGAAATACTTTTGAAAATATCTTTGAAAATGTTTTGCCATGTCTGTCAGGACTCGCATCTAAGATAAACATATTATGAATAGGGACTCATCCTATCAAGCTCTTAGAATGTTACACCATTTCCAAATCAACCCCTTTGATTTATTTCTAGAACCATAATTTCAATCTAAACTAGCTAAGCCCTATACCACTTGCAAAAGATTAAATTATGTCCAACTCATAAAACTTGCAAAAGATTAAATTATGTCCTACTCATAAAACTTGCAAAAGATTAAATTATGTCCAACTCATAAAACTTGCAAAAGATTAAATTATGTCCAACTCATAAAACTTGCAAAAGATTAAATTATGTCCAACTCATAAAACTTGCAAAAGATTAAATTATGTCCAACTCATAAAACTTGCAAAAGATTAAATTATGTCCAACTCATAAAACTTGATTAATTTTGTTCTGTTTGTGCTATTCTTCTTATTGTAACTTTTTTGCTCATTGACACACCCTTATAGAACAAACCCTTATGTAATACACCCTTATGGCCCAGTAATACCTACCCTTACGGTTCAGTAATATCAAACTCTGCAATAAAACACTTCAAAATATTATTATCCATAAATCATGTTTAAGCTTTTCATATTTTTGTATTTTTGTGAAATAATAACTTGTTGTTTAATATTTTAAGTTTTTAATTTTAGTAATTTTTATATATACAAGTTAAAAAATCAATATGATATAAATTATATGATAACTAAATGATGGATTAAGCTTCATAATGCTAATAAAAAATAAAATATATTGTTTAATAATATTATTAAGGAATCCTTAAAGTGAACAAGTTGTGTTCATAATAAAAAAAATGTTTAAAAAAACATTTGGGCTCCATTTTTTTTGATTAAAACTAAATAATAAATACATATCAATAAAACAAAAAACATTGTTTAAGTTATAGCTCATCTCCATTTTTTCTTGGTTCTTGAAGTCTTTATAATAAACACCGCAACTTGCACACTGCGTAATTCATGCGCATTTAATTCACAACAGTTTCAGTATATGATATTATTGTAGATTTTTTAAGAAATCAAAATATTTTTTGTCAGACAATCAGAAAATGAAAAAAAAAAAAAAAGAACTGGTATAAGTGCAAAGCCGTAGCAAAAAATGGCATAAGTGCACATCTGGCTTAAGTCCTATCTAAAAAGCAAGATCAAATCCTCCATCAAAAACTATTTTGTTTAATTATTAATCTTTTATTCAAAGTAGTTTTATGTTTTTTAACTAACATTGTTGTGTATTTATGGTTACATTACATTATATTGTTGTTAATTATAGTTTATTTAGGTAGTCGCGGTCGGATGTACATATACTAACGTACTTAAATAAGGATCGTTGCAAATAATAACTAAAAATCAATCGGCGCAAATAATAACTAAAATATAAAACAAAATTTTGTCATTTTAAAAACTTCAAATAGTAAAATAAACAAATTTTACAAAATATTCTTATACTGATAAATAATTTATATTTCGTTATAATATATACTTATATATAATATATATTTATATATAATATATATTTTGTGAAAGTCAACATTTTAATATAAAAATCTAGATAAAGATTTTTACTTACAACTGTTAAAAATTATATTATTTTATTTTTAATTGTATCATAAAATTGTTTCGGGATTTAATAAAAAAATTTAATAAAAAACTATACAAATAAATATGATTTGCTGATTGTGCCAAAAAAAAAACTTTGATATCTTAAAAAAAAACTCCATAATGACACTGTATACTGAAACTGTTATGAATTAAACATGCATGAAATAAATTATGCAGTCTTCAGATTGCAGCATATATTATAAAAACTCAGGGAACCAAGAAAAAATGGAGATGAGCTTCAACTAAAACAACCATTTCTGTTTAATTGATATGCATTTATTATTTAATTTTAACCAAAAAAAAAGAGCCCAAACATTGTTTTTTTAAACATTTTGTTTAATATAAACACAACTTGTTTCAGCACTTAGGGATCTCTTTAACAAAATTAAACTTGATTTTTGATTGAGATCAGAAGGTAGCTTACTTCGATTTGCTGTCTATATTAAAATCTTTTGCTACTTTTTTTAAAAGGAGGCAGTATTCTGTCTATTCAAATAGCAAATTTTTCTGGCTACTCCAAATTTTTCTGTGAAATGACCAAATAGCAAAAGCAAAAAAATATTTTCTTTTGCTATTTGGTCATATCACAGAAAAATTTGGAGTAGCCAGTATAAATTTGCAATGGTGGTTGAGTAGATGAGACATACCATAATTAAAGATGAGAAACAGAAGTTGTTACATAAACCATGATGTACACCTCTACGGCCAATCTAACTCTAAATTTCCAAAAACAACTTGCTGTTTTTGATTAGAGAGATGTGCATTTATATATTGGCAATGTACTAGCTGAAACCATAGGGATCTGAAACTTTTAAAGATGTAGCAAATGACTGACTTCATTAAATGCCCTGGCAAAGTCAAGAAAACCTACAACAGTGTTGACTCCTAAATTTGTCAAGCAAGATTTACCTGGGGTAAAAGTATGTTGGTTTGTGTCAAGACGGTTGTTGGAAAGTTTTAAGTATTGCATCTCTAATCAATCTTTCCATCACTTTGCATAAAAGAGATATAATTAAGAAGGGCAGTTTGAGGGTTAATTTTTTGACCTTACTAGTAGATAGGTGTAATACTAGCTAATTTCAGCTATTTGGAACAAAACTTGAGAGAAAATTGTTGTGGGAAATGATTGAAATGATGATCGGAAATTGAAAAATGCATTTCATTTAGCATATGAGGATGAAATTTATCCTACAGATTTTTGTTTGTCAAGCACTAACAGCTGAGTTTTTACTGTTGCTATTGAAAAAATTTTTCTTATAATATTTGCATAAAAAGCAGTGTATGTATCAAAAGATAGAATTAGATTGAAAAGACAACTTTAAAAAAAAGAAAAGAACTGCTGATTTAAAAGATTCTAAATTTCTACTGTATCAGAGATTATTTTTCCAATTAGGTCAGCAAGAGCATGAAGATGCACTTTAATTGAACCCTGCTTGTTTGTTTTGCTAAATTAGCTTCATATTCTTTAGAAACTTTAAATAAAAGATACAACAAGAATGTTGGTATACAACAAGAATGTTGGCTTAAGTAATGTTTTGATAGTGGAACCGATAAAAAAAAGATGAAAGTTTATCAAAAGTTTATAAAGTTTTTGTGCTTTATAAATTTAATGATTAAAATATTTCAAGTTGGTATTTTTTGCATGAAAGGTTGGACAGTGAATAGATACAATTTAACCATAACTATATGGTAAAATTTGGTAGCACTCTTCAACATTTTTATGGTTGAAAAGGGTTTTCCAATTCTGTATGAAGAAGTAGGAAACTATGCCTTGTTAGGATTTGTTAAGAAGGACTAAACATTCATGTACAAAATGGCAATATGCGTATGCATTCAACAGTTTTACATTATAAGAAAACTTTTATCTTTAGGAATATTTAAATTATCTTTTGATATCGTTTGTGATGTGACACTTTTTCCAAAAATATTAAACTGCAAAACTATTAAGTGCAATTGTGAACTTTTTTGTTAAAGAAATATAATAATTTAATTAAAAAAAAAAATTTTAAATCAAAACTTTAAATTAAATAAGATTTTGAGAATTAAAAAATTAAATTTATTTTTGAAGGAATGCAAAATAGTAAAATGTAGAATGTAAAATTTGAAATTAAAATTTTGTAAAATTTTGTAAAATGTAAAATTTTGCAAATTTTTTCTTATCATCTGCTACTTAATTCATTACGTGTAAATGTTAAAACAGTAGTTTCTATATAAATCATAGATTTAAAATGTGTGAAACTAAAAAACTTTTTTTTTTTGGATTAAGGAGGGAGAAGAGTGCTTTTGTTCAAAAAAATTTTTTCAAAAATGGTTTTAAACATTTTTGTTTCTTATTAATTCAATATCGTGTAAAGTTCAGTTGTAAATTTAATTCATGAACATAAATTGTGTCTATGAATAACTAACTGGTAACTGATGAAATTTATCTATAAATTATCTACAGTCTTTATTAAAAATAGTTTATTTAACACATCAAAAAAAAAAAATTAAATTGTGATAAAGCAAACAAAATATTGTATTTTATTTAATATTATTTAAAGAAATAAATTATAAAGAAATATAATCTTATTCAAATACCAAATTTTGACTTCATCAATAATTTTTGTTGTATTGTTTAAATTTTATTGATTTCTAAAGCGGTTCAAAATTCTTATTTATTCTTGATTATGTAGAGAAACAATAAAACCTTAAGAAAAACCAAATTATATGCGCCCAGAACAAAAATTTATGTACCAAACAAGATAAAATGTGAAACATGCTCGAAAGCCACTACGAGAGGTTTGCGGTCAAAATTTTAAAAAATAAAAAGCCGCTATCAGTGGCTTGTCGTAGTAAAAGAGTTATTAATTATTATCATATGCCTTAAAAAGTTTGATATATTAAATTTGTCATAAATTATATATATTTAAAATAGAATCATATCTTAATTATTATTTTATTAAAAAATGTTAACACCCTTAAAAATACACTTTTGCTTTCAGTATAAATATTTCCCGTAAAACATAAAAATACCATTTATAACTACTCACTTGATAAACCTTGAACTCAAAAGGTCACCACAGTTGAAAGGGCTACCTTTCAAGTTGAAAAGGCTTTTTCAGTTAATTTACTTTTTTTTTTTTTTAATTTGAAACTCTCTGTTAACCCTAAACTCCATAACAGGAACCATTTCATTCAACCACAAGCGTTGATCTGCATTTATGACTACTGTGTATAGAAATAGATTAAATGCGGTGGTTCCCAAGGCTTAGGGTGGATTTAAAGCCCAAATTTCTTGATTGTGAGCCAAAACTTCCATCACTAGCCTACTACCCCATTAAATAAAACTCATATTTCAAAATTTTTTTTCAGCACTCTCTCTCTTCCTGATAAAGATGTTGGTTGTCAAAAAATTAAACTTTGCAATATACTGCAACATATCTTGAATTAAATATTCCATCAATATAAATACTTTGCTTTATTCGTTGTTTAATTCTCTTGCTGTTTTCTTAAGAATTCTTTACTAGAATGTGAGTGTGGAGAGAATTAAAAAAAAAAACTTTAAATAAATTTAAATTAAATGATTACTTGTTCATTTTTTCATTATAAAAATTTATTAACTTATTAGTTGCAATAAAATTGTAAATAGCTGAACAACCTATTTACCAGGGAAATAAAAACTTTTGAAAGGCTTTTTTGAAAACAGATATGAAAATATCAATTAAATATATAGCACAATAACAAAAAAGTATACTAATCTGCAAATTGTGTGCTATTCTTTGATTTTAATAATGGAATCTCTTCATTGGCTACATTTGAATCACATCAAAGCTACAAGCCACCTGCATCTTTGTTTTGCATTTAGAGTTTTAAGGTGCTTACGTTACTTTAGACACTGACGCTCATTTAGATACTGCTTCTAGCCTATTATATACTCTACTAAAAAGTCTAACCCTTCTTTTTAAGCTCTTGTTCAGACTCTGACTCATTTGTTTCCCAGACTATGTTCTCTCACATGGTTCTTTTTTTAGAAACTACCACAAAGGCTTCTTTATTTCTATGGCTACAGTTAAAAGAATTTTCCTAATTTAAAAATTATTTAATTAAAAATCCTAAGAAAATTTGCTAGATTGAAAGATATAATAAATTTTAACAACCACGGAAAACTATTTTTGTTTTAGTTTTTAAAAAAGTTCATTTATAATAACTACTAGATTTGCTTGAATTAAACTTTTTAATTTGCCCGAACTGAAAACCTTTCCTAACCCAATCAAAAAAAAAACTTTTATTAGGTTTTTTTTTACAATTACAAATAATTTTTAATTGTCTTTTGTTCTGAAAAACAAGAAATGATTGTGTTAGTAAAACCGTGCTATTTACATTATTTTTATATAACTTTACGTAAATTTTAAAGTTTGCTAAATAACATTGTATGGCATTCACAAGCAAAGATCAAAAACAAACATACTAGAAAAAACATAAAAAAACTCTTAAAATTATGGCACATTACCAAAATGCTTGTTTTGAAATTGTATAAATATCTCAATAAAAAAACATTTTTTATTGAGATATTTATACAAGAATAAATTGTTGTTCGATTGGATGAATGATAATAATGATATTTGTAAAGGTAAAACATAAAGCTTACTTGTGTAAAATGTTTGTTTTCCGATGATCCCTCGGTTCCAAAGACATATTGTGATTTGCACACTTCAAAGTACCTGAATTTGAGATTAATAGATTAATACTACGCAAATATTCAGAATTAGAACTCAAAAAAATATTAAAAGAAATTAAAAAATTATAATATCACTAACAAAAATTATGATAGTTCAGATAAAAATGAATGGATATCATAATAGTATAGACATAAAATAAATTAAAAAAGTATTTTGTATACATATGTAGAGAGTAGATGAAACCTAAAGTATATACATGTATGCATATGTAGAGTGTAGATAAAATCTAAAGTATATATGTGTATACTTATGTAGAGAGTAGATAAAATTCAAAGTATATATGAGTATGCGTATGTAGAGAGTAGATAAAATATAAAGTACATATGTGTATACATATGTAAAGTGTAGATAAAATTTAAAGTATATATGTGCATAGGTATGTAGAGAGTAGATTAAATCTAAACTATATATCTGTATACATATATATGAGTGTATAAATATCTATGTATAATATACCTATATTATACATAGATACATACATACATTCTGTATTATTTAAAACCTAAACTATATATATGTATTTGTATGAAAAGTCTAGATAAATCTAAACTATATATGCAGGCTTGGCCAGAAAAGCATGTGATTTCATGTCTTAATATGACTACGCAAATACTATTTAATTTTGAAAACTTGACCACAGCTGTTAATATGCTTTGAAAATTTGTAAACATTTTAAAAATGTGCTGAAAAAATTATCTTAACTTTGAAGAAACTTAAAAAAAAATTTATTGTAAAAGAAACAAATAAATCTTGGTAAAAAAAAATAATGAAAAATAAAATAAACATAACATAACTAAAACTAAAATGAAAAAAATAAAATTAAAACTTAACTAAAACAATAATAAACTATAATGATTAGATTATTTAAATTACTTTTGGAATAAATAACTTTGATCATTTATCATTTATCTTTATTAGTATTTTAAAAATATATAATTTTATGCGAAAGCCTTTTTTAAATAAAGAAACAACTTACATTTAACAATTGTTTAATAAATGCGCACATTTGAAAGTTAAAAAAAGATTCTTAACAATTCTTCGCAGTTAACAAAAGAAAAAATAGTTAAATCATTTGTTTAAAAAGTTAGTATAATTTTTTTTTTAAAGACATTTATAATAAAAAATACATACTTATTTAGATATAAAAAATATATATACAATATTTGGATGTGTATTAGGATGTGTGCAAATATTATGCTTATAGTTTAACTATGATTTTAATTTTTGCATTTTACATAAAACCATATTAAGTGGCCACTTTTGCACTACAAATTTAACTTTTTAAAAACTCATAAAACTATTTTTAAGTTAAATAATTTAATTTTTTCAATATCAAAACTGCAAACTATTCAAATTTCAAATGACACAATTTGAACAAATAATTTTATTTATTTAGTGTGCTTTATTATGACATTTTTGTTTTTATTAAGCTTTATTACATTTTTGTTTTTAGTGTGCTTTAATATGACAATTTGTTGCTATTGTGCTTAATTATGACACTTTTGTTTATTGTGATTTATAGACAATTTTGTTTTATTGTGCTTTAATAGACATTTTTGTTTTTAGTGTGCTTTTATATGACACTTTTATTTTTATTGTGCTTCAATATGACACTTTTGTATTTAGTGTACTTTAATATGAAATTTATTCATAGCGTTTAAATAGACAATAAAAAATTTAAATACCTTACCATTTTATTACTGCTTCTGTTGTACTAATATCACTTTCATCTGAATAACATCCATATGCCACATTACTTCCTTCATCTGTGACTAAATCAGGTTTTAATGTTTGAATACTTGCTAAATAAGTAGCTTGTTTTTGTGCAATAGTAGTTAGCTGAGTATCAATTAACAAATCAGCAACACCATGAATTTTGCGAAAAATATTATGAGCTTTAAGGCCAACCTGATCATATGTACCTTTTTCTGATTCTTTCAAATGTATTAAAGAATTTAACAAACCATCCTTTTCAATATTTTTTATGCCCATTGGAGAATTCAAAGGTTCAATTAAATAATTTGCTTCATCATTATTATTACCATTAAAATACGCATTGTCTTCATGGCTATTGTACATTAAAGTATTGTCTCCATATTTACTGTACATTAAATAGTTTATATCATCACACGGAGTTAAAATTGAATCTGTATAAAGCTGATCCTGGCTGAGTCCTGCAGATTTATATCGCTCTGCAATATATTTACATACTTTAGCGTGATTGGGTTTCCATTTTTCCTGAAATAACAAATTATATTAGTAACTATTTATATTACTATATATTACTGTTTAACATTGTTTGCAATTATAGCATTACAAAGTTTTTAATGTGCAAGTTTTTGTATATTTAATTCATAATTTTGTTAATTGATTAAAAAAACTTTAATGAGGGTTACAAAACTCGAACCCATTAACATACAATAAGAAAGTAAAAGAGTATGAACAAAACCCAACAGAAATTCTATTATGGATGATTGAAAAGTATTCATGGATATGGCAAGTATTCATGGATATGGCAAGGACATTTAGAGCATATATCAGACTAATTATTAAGTGAAATGTTTGGTAGTTTAAAACAAAAAAAAAAATAATATTCAAAAATACCTTGCCTATTATTTCATCAAAACTAAATTTGTTTATCCAAATTAATATCTGAACACATAAATATCAAGGATATCTGAAATAAATATTTATTGGACAAAGCAAAAATTAAACAGACAAATCTAAAGATCAATATTGAGTGTAATGAGGACACTCGAGCTGTCTATTACAATGAATCAAAAAAATATTTAATTTTGGAGAATGAAAACTCATACCGGCACCAATAAGTCTTTAATTGATTTTGCACTAGTAACAGAAGAGAACCAAGCAATATAACAACTATATCCACTAAGACCACATTTTCCACTTCAGACGCCAAATATTATCACAGGCTTTTGCAGGAAGCAAGAGTATTAGCTCTCACTATTGCATAGACTTCGTTGTGGTTTATGGGAGCAATTTACGGCTCTCGCAGAAGTTTAGTTTTTTTGTATTAAAAAAAAATAATTTTATTGAAAAAGACAAAGTTTGAGTTTCAGATTGACATTTTTTTAGAGGTACACCAATGCATTGGCATCAGCATTGACCATTTAGCAAATGGATTGGTATTAGCATCTGTCTTGGTAACCATCAATCAATGCCAATTGTATTGAAAAATCAGTTTTTTTATTTTTGTATTTTTATATTGAATGCAAAAATATAATAAATGAAAAAGTATGTATGATATTATATAGATACATCTGCAACTACTAAACCTTTAGATAATTTTTGAACCATTTTTTATCAGGAGCTCTCGGCATTTAGTGTCTTTTAATAATTTAGGGAAGTAATTATATGACATACTTATTTACTACCACTGAGGCCTGTAATCATATTAAACAAAGCCATTAATTAAAAAAATATTATATTATTGTGAACTCTTTATTATTAGACAAAAATAATAATAATAATAACATAAGATAAATAAAGCGCTGATAAAAATGTGTAAAAATTAAATCTGTTTTAAAATCAAAAGAAAAAATAAATGAGAAATCAGTGGCAATATAAAATCTATTTCAAAAAAAATGAAATAATAAATCTCTAATGATGAACTTATTAATAAAGAAAACAAAACGAGCATATACTAACAAGCTTTTATGATGAGCATAATAACAGAGGAAAAACAAAAATTTACTCAATATCTAAAGGAGGTTTTAACAAGATTTATTTATTTCTATTCTATTATTGTTATTATTTATACTAATTAAAAATGTTATCTGATTTAAACGTCAGTCAACGTTCCTGAAAAACTTATCACTTTTAATTATAAAAATGTTATATATTGTACAAGATATGTTATGCATAAAAAATTGATTTCTTTTAGAGAGATTAATTTTTTATGTGTTTTCAATGTTAATTTTGTTGCGTTCAACTTCAAAAAATAAAAATGCTCTTTACTATTAAATAAATGTAAAACTTATGAACTTTTTTGATTTGCTTGGAACTTTCAAAAAAACAGTTTTTCTAGTTTTATTAAAATGAATTTTATTAAATTAAATCAAACATAAAGGTAATGTAGCCTTTATAAATAATTTTAATTCTTATCGATAATAATATCATAAATTTTTATAATTTTTATAAGTTAATATGTATTTCTTTTTAAAGAAAATCATATACAAAAGGGTTTTTTTAATAGAAATTATAGTTTTTAAATCAATCATTTTAAACTAACAAAAAATACTTTTAAACTGTTGTTATAAAAGTAATTTTATCTTTGAAAATTCGATGTAAATGTTTTAGTTCTAACAATCCTCTGTTTACTTATATGATTAAGACGTTAAGACACTTTACTATTGACATTAGGACAAAATAATTTTGGTTATTGACACAGACATGAACAATACAAAATGTTTTTCAGAAAACATTCAATTAAAAACAACAGAAAAAATAGCATTTATATCATACAATATATTTTAGGTGATTCTAAAACTTACCATTATTTATTAAACATTTACATTTAAAATTTTTAAATTTATTATACATTACTTTGGTAATGTATAATAATACCAACTAATACCAAACGTGTCAAAAATTTTTTTTTTCAAAACAGGCAAAGATTTTATGTTTATACATTTTGCCATTATTTAAGAGACTTTTGTTAAAAATATGCGACTCTTATATCCTTAACAAGTTGATTTATTTGCATAAACCAATTACCAACAATTATAATGTCATTCCGAAGATCAAATAAATCTTTCAAAAAATGCCATATAGATAAACAATTTTTTTCCAATAATGTCAAATAAATAAATAAACTTTTCAAATGTTGTATAGATAAACATTTTTTTTTTATCTAAACACACCCTAATATATTAATGGAAAAAAGAATGTTTATTACTAAACACGTTTATTATTAAACACATTTATTACTAACACGTTTATTATTAAACACATTTATTACTAACACGTTTATTACTCAACACATTTATTACTAACCCGTTTATTATTAAACATGTTTAATACTAAACACGTTTATTATTAAACACATTTATTACTAACACGTTTATTATTAAACATGTTTAATACTAAACACGTTTATTAGTAAACTATTAGCACTAAAATTAAATATATTAAAATACAAAATTATTTCCTCATATTTAGTATTTATATGCTATTGTTTATTATACATTATTTGTTAGTTTTTATTTTAAAGTACTCTTTTTAACTTATTTGCAAGTTAACTAAATAATGTATAATGCACTCATATTACAAACTTGATTTGGATGTTGAATGCTTAAATTTCATTTGCTTGAACAAAAACTATTCTTTTATGTATATTAGAGTGGTTCTTAAAACAATATTTTTTGAAAATGTCTGATGTTAACCTCTAAATGTGTCTAAATGTGTATAATAAAATATTAATTTTTAAAAATTTTTGAAAAAAATATTTTAAAGGGTAGCTCAAAACATCAGATAGGCCCTTAATATTATCAAAAAAAAGGTAGCTTAAAAGTAACTTAATGTTTGGTCTCAAAAGAAATGAAATTCATAAAGAAACTAATAATTATTTAAAAGAAAAATGGTACTTTTTAATTAAAAGTGAAATATATAAAAATTTTATTATAATTTTTTTTAATGTTTTTTTATAAAATGATGATTATTTTAGAAATTTTTATATAAGTTCACTTATTTTGAGAAGTTGTTTCAAGAGACACCCTATATTATGCCCTATGTATGTATGTATATATATATATATATATATATATATATATATATATATATATATATATATATATATATATATATATATATATATATATATATATATATATATATATATATATATATATATATATATATATATCTTATACTGCTGAGTTAAGTGAGCATGATGATGTCATAATCACCTAACATCAAATAGCCTGCTGCCGGGGGCTTCAGTACATACGTCGACTGACAAATAGCCTGACTCGCCGTGGAGTGCTGCTACATCGACTGAGGGTTTGGTATGGGTCAGCAACATTTTCATTCATTATTCTTCGTTTTCCCTCATCATTTTCTAAAAATTCTCACTTAATTTAGAATAGCAAAAAAAGTGAGCAATAGCGCATATAAATATGCTATAGTAGATATGTATATATATATATATATATATATATATATATATATATATATATATATATATATATATATATATACATATATATATATATATATATATATATATATTATATTTATATTTTTATTATTCATTAAGTTAGTTAGATTTTTAAAGAATTTTAGTATTAATAATGCTATTGTTAACATTAATTCACAATGTGCTTGTTTTTAATTAATAGTTGTTAGGAAAATAAATTTATTGTCGTTGTTGTTATAGTTGTTATGTTGTAATACTTGCTGTAGTCTTGAGTCCAAAAGAAGTGACGTTTCTTTCCCAGGATGATAAATCTAGGGTGCCAATTGGATTGACAGCTGCAAATTTAGTTATTGAGAGCAAATTAAGTTATCGGGACAGCTGCAAATTAAGTTATCTAAAGCTTTCGACAAAGCTTGGCATGCTGGTCTTCTCCATAAGCTTGCTTCATATGGTGTTTCTTGGAAAGTTTTTGAGATTATCAAATCATTTCTTTCTAACCGGTTTATTAAAGTCATCCTTGAAGGCCAACACTCTTCTTTATTTCCAGTAACTTCTGGGGTTCCCCAAGGTTCCATCCTGGGCCCTGTTGTGTTTCTTATCTGCATAAATGATCTTCCTGACAACCTTTCATCTAAAGTAGCTCTTTTTGCTGATGACTCAACTTTATACTCCTGTTTTGACAAAAAGTCTTCTCTTTTCGATCGTCTAGAACAAGCAGCTGATCTTGAATCCGATCTCACTTCAGTAATAGATTGGGGTTCACAGTGGCTTGTGAATTTCAATTCTAACAAAACCCAGCTGTTTACTGCAAACAACTACCGTAATATGGTCAACATTCCTATATTAATGAATGGCAATCCTCTTACTGAGTACTCCTCTTTACGTCTGCTTGGATTATTGCTTACTACTGACCTTTCATGAAAACCATATATACAATTGATTGCTAAATTAGCTTCTGCTAAGGTTGCTTCTCTTTATTGTGCTCGCCATTTCCTTACTTCTGATTCCATTCTCTACCTCTACAAATCTCTTATTCGTCACTGTATGGAATACTGTTGTCATATTTGGGCTGGTTCTTCTAACGATTCACTTTCTCTTCTTGACAAGGTCCAAAAACGCATTGTAAATGTTGTTGGACCTGGACTATCTGATAAGCTTGAACCTCTTTCCCATCGTCATAAAGTTGCATCTCTTTCTCTTTTCTACAAATACTATAATGGTCACTGCTCAAAGGAGTTATCATCTCTAGTTCCATCAACTAAAATTCATTCTTGTTTTACTTGTCATTCAGCTAAGTCTCATTCATTTACTGTATCTGTCCCTGCATGCTCTAAAAACTTTTATTCATCTAGTTTTTTTCCCCGCACTTCAATCCTTTGGAACTCTCTCTCATCTTCATGTTTTCCTGACTCATACAACCTTCAACTTTTCAAGTCCTCTGTCAACCGTTTCCTTGCTCTATAACTCTGTTCTTTTTTTTCCTAGTAACTCCCAACTTAATAGTGGTTGCTTGCAGCTTTGTTGGGAGTGAATGCAAATAAAAAATAAAGAATAAAAAAAAAAAACAAGCACTAATCATGATGCATATGGAGTACAAGGTGACTTTAGCTGATCATGATTTTGTAATTGCTCCTCAACACAAACTTATTCCTTCAGTAATTGCAGCCATAAAAATCAAAAAAGATTGCATGGAAAAACAAGCAGTCACATACTCTGGCCCAACATACATAGCAATCAGAAGTGCAAAACATGATTCATCAACAGCACTTAGTCACTTAGAAGACATTAATAGAATCAACCATCTTCCTGCATTTGAAAGCAGCTTATTTAGTGAAAATGGAGTTAGCAAACAAGTCATGATTATAACTGTTGATGGTGGGCCAGACGAAAATCCAAGATATGAAAAAACAATTCATTGTGCCAAGACTTATTTCAAAGAGCATGACCTTGATGACATGTTTGTGGCAACCAATGCTCCTGGCAGAAGTACCTTTAACAGGGTAGAGAGAAGAATGGCTCCACTAAGTTATGACCTTGCAGGAATTATACTTCCATTTAATCATTTTGGAAGCCATCTTAATTCAAGAGGAGAAACAACAGACAAACTTATGGAGAAGGCAAATTTTGCCAAAGCTGGCGAAGTTCTTGCACAAATTTGGTCCAGCACAGTCATTGATGGATTTGAAACTATTGCAGAGTACAAAGAACCAAACAGTGAAAATCATGTACAATTAAAGCAGTTTGGAGCAGAGTGGGATACTAAACATGTCAAAGAAAGTCAATACTTGCTTCAAATTGTAAAATGTAATGATCAAAACTGCTGTGGTCATCGTCGCAGATCACTGTTCCATCTTATTCCAACTGGTTTTCTTCCTCCACCAATTTCTTTGTTCCAAGGAGAAAATGGCCTTGAGTGCAATAATACTAAGAATAACTTTGCAAGCCTCTTTTTAAACTTATCACTAAGCAAAACAATTTTTCCCAAGACAATTACAAAAAAGTTTCCTAAAGGATAAATTGCCATACGACTACTCCTGTCCGAGCATTCAAAGTTCCTTACCAAAAAGAATTTGTATCAATTGTAGTCTATATTTTGCCACTATCAAATCAATGAAACAGCACAAAACAGTTTGCTCAAGTATTGGATTATCGAATGAGATTCAAAAAATTAAACCTCATTGCCTAGTTGCTCAACGTCTATCTGAACTCATGTGTGTCTTTTTAAATTCAGACAAAGAAACAATTGAATGGCATGATCAGGACGATGTTGATACCTCTGATCTCAACTGGCCTTCAATAATTATTGAAAAGCATGGAACTCCAATACTTGGTCAAAGGTCAAAGGTCAAAGTCCAATTTGGGAAACAAATTTAGGGCATATTTCTCAAACAGAATCTTGTCAATTGTATTTTTTTTAATATGAACTGTTACAATTAAATAGAAAATTCCAAACTTTTGTCTTTGTCACGTCACACAGTGGTGGGGGTGGGGGAGTTTTTAAAAATGCCAAAAAATGTCACATAGGGGAGGGGGGTCTCTAAAAATGCCTAAAAAAGTGTCACGTATTATTTGAACAGCGCCCAATTAGTTTTTTCTTAAAGAAAAATCTTAATTTTAGCGATTATTTTTTTTTCTAAATTAGTATATTTTTAGGCCATTCTTGAAATTAAAGTTAAAAGTAATGTTTTAGTTTAAGTTTTTCATTAAAGGTCATAAAGTATGTCATGCTAAATTTATCTTTTGTATAGAAGCATGATCATTTGCTTTCTTGCGCAGAGATTTTTATTTAACATAAAGCCCTTTTGAAGTTAAATTATTTTAAATCTCTGCGTGGAAGCTAATAATATTTTAAAGTTATATTTAGCTTGATTTACTGAATGCAAAAGTTCATTGCAGTAAATTTACCTATAAACTAAATCAAAAAGTTAATTCACCACAGTTACTCAACTATTAAATTTACTTATTATACTTAAAGACTTGCAAAAGTTAGTTATAGAAATATTTCTATTTATATCTTATATGCTGTTGTCACATAATATGGATGACTTAGCATCATACCAACCTATACAAAAATATATAGAAATGAGATAATTAGACGCAAAGTTTAAAGGTTTTTAACAAAAGCCTATAAACCAAAAAAATTATAAGTAACAGCAGTTCAGTGTACTTAAAAATTTTAAGTAAAGCAGGTGTTTGTGAAGAAACTCTACAAAGTCATTTTTAAATATAAAAATAATCTTTATCATAATAATTTTCAAACATTTTCTATAAATACACAAGTTATTTTTAAGAACTTTTCGAAAAAATAACAAAATATGAACAAAAGAATTTTAGTCTTTTAAAATTCTTTAATTCAAATAATTTTGCAATTGAAAATTAAAATTAAAAAAATAATTAAAAAATTTTAAAAGAATTTTAAAGCTCAATAATTATAATTTTTATTGCAGCAGCGCCCTTAATACCCAGTGACATAGTGAAGATCATTCCTGAAAGTTAAACGTATATCTAGCTACAGTAACAATATCAGATTTAAAATATAGTGCAAGTGAGAAAAAAAATTTTTATTTAATTCATTTTTAATTGTTAATTATTTTTTGTTTCTTGAAAAAAGTTTTAAAAGTAGAAACATTCTATTGAAAACATTAAACCAGTGATTATTGCAAACATTAAACCAAAAATTAAATTATAAAAAATTTAAGTTAAAAAAACTTAAATTTTATTTGTGTTCGAAGAAATTTTTTTAAAAAAAATAATTTAAGCATATATTAAAATTTAAGGAAATATAATTCGATTTATTAGACCAAACTTTTTTCCTTCACTTTTTTGTTGCAATCCAATTAGAATGAAAAAATTGAATGAAAACATCAACTTAAAAACCATTTGAATGAAAAAATTAATTATACTCAAATTTTTAATAGTACCGTAGATCAAGAAACAAGTTATGAAAAACGTGGTATCGAATGCTTTTTTGCTTCGATCTTACCTTTGATCTTATCTTTAATCTACAGACTCATATGGTCTTCATATGGCATGTTTGTGTGCAAATATGAAGTTTAATATTTTATGAAAATGTTTTAATTTATTAATTAGAACAATTCTATTCAACCACTTCATTTTATTTTAAACCCATATCACACCTTGATTGCAGTGTTATTAAATTGCTAAATAAGCATGCTTATTTAGCAATAAAAAAAACAATATTTATGTGCCTTTTCTTCCCAAAAAGACCTGACCCTCTCTAAACTTCGCGGGAAGTATTTTTTGTGAATAGCCTTTCAACCCAAATGCTGTTTTGTTGTCAAGTTGTTTATACGCATCACTCTTTCCATTTTTCTGTTGTGCATCTTTTAATAGGTGTCATATACTCAGTGATACTGCCTATTGCAGGCATCTTGCTTCCTGCCAAGGAAGCGGTAGGCCTGCAATAGGCAGTATCACTGAGTGTATATATATATATATATATATATATATTTATACAAAAATATATATATATATATATATATATACATATATATATATACATATATATATATATATATATATATATATATATATATATATATATATATATATATATATATATATATATATATATATATATATATATATATATATATATATATATATATATATATATATATATATACGTACAGAGCCAGCTTGTGAGCATTTCTTAGTGTGCGCAAAAAAAAAATTGCCACCCTTAATAATGATCAAATTTTATTAGAACAATGTATATTTTTTTGGCAATTTTTCATGAGGTTAGCATTAGGTCAGCAAAAAAATTTGACACAAAAAGGTTGCCATAAAACATAGAAATGAGGTCTGCAATTTTTGCCGACCTCAAACACCTCAACGACCTCAAACAAGGTGGGCAGTTAGGTTGGCATTGCCAACTAACTGCCCACCTAATTTGACCTAATTCCAAGGACTGCTATAAATATCTATTATTAAATTCATTTTAAATTTATTTAAAACAAAACAAAACAAAATAAAATATATAAATAAATAAATATATATATATATATATATATATATATATATATATATATATATATATATATATATATATATATATATATATATATATATATATATATATATATATATATTATATATATGGATTTGTAAATTTAAAACACAAAAACAAAAAACAAAAAAAAACAATAGTTTAAAATATTTATTACATACATTATGAAAGTGTTTAATTGAAAACACAAAAAAAAAAAAAAAAAAAAAATTTAAAACACAAAAACAAAAAACAAAAAAAAACAATGGTTTTAAAATATTTAGTACATACATTATAAAAGTGTTCATTTCCATCGTTAAAATTGTTTCCAATAATTTTCTCACAAAATTTAGAGTACCTAGAAAGTTAAAGAGTATAAATAGTTTGAATTTGATAAAAAAATGTTTGTATAGTTAGGAATTGATAGAAGAATGTACGTATAATTAAAAATTGATAGAAAAATGTATGTATAATTAGGGATTGATAGAAGAATGTATTTATAGTTAGAAAATAATAGAAGAATGTATGTATAGTTAGGAAAAGAATGTGCCTATATATAAGAATTGACTGAAGAATGTATGCATTGTTAGAATTGATTGAAGAATGTATGTATAGTAAAAAAGAATTATTAGAAGAATGTACATCAGTTGAACCTGATGAAATTCCTTTAATCGTAAACTACTCAAAAACTATTTAACTAATTGTTTGAATTTTTTTGCACATGGAAGCTTATGTGTTGTTGTGTGATTGTAATGGTAATAAGTGTTGGTTTTCATTGTTATTGGATTAAAATAAGTAAACAAATATTAAATCAAAAAAAAATTTTGGAAATTTTTCTTCAAACTCATTCATTGTCAAAAGTTGACATTGCAAAATTGATGGGTGTTTCTTGATCCTCAGTTGAATTTTTTTTGCAACAATATAAACAGACTCAATCTATTGAAAGAAATGCTGGAAGTGAAGAAAATAAAGGATTTAAAGATAAATATAAGGCTAAATCTATCATTCGCTCCATAAAGGCAAACCCATATCATTCGCAGAGAGATCTGCCAAGAAAATTTAAATGCAGCCAATCTTTGAAGGGAAATGTACTTAGATCTCAAGAATATAAACCATATCATAAAAAGAAAAATCCAAAGGGATCCATTGATAGAGAAATTAAAATAATTCATCTTTCAAAAAATATATATAAGTTTTTAGACAAGACAGCTTGTGCACAATTGAAGACAATGAAACCTATTGCAAAAAGGACTTTTTATGATAGCCAGGCCAGCAATATTTTTATTAGTCAAAAGGTAGATATGTCGCCTTAAAATTCTATTAAATTTAAACTAAGAAATTTGCTCCCAAATTCCTTATATGGTTACTCCTGTGGTTTGAAAAGTACACCATACAATACTCATGCAAATTTGTATATAAAAGAATGCTTAAGAAACGCCTTTTGCCATTTATTAAAAAGCATGATATGCCTGCAATCTTTTAGCCTGATTTGGCTACAATCCACAACTCCAAGAAATCTCTACAATGGTGTAAACAAAATAACATATCAATTTTTACCTATGGATACCTTCCAAATTCTCCTGAACAGCGATTTATTGAAAGTTATTGGTCAAATATAAAAGGTATCTTAGTGAAATGCAAGAAAAAACTTCAAATAAAAAAGATTTTAAGAAAAAATGGATAACAGCTTCAAAAAAAGAACTCAAAGCAAGATCCTGCAAATGATGTTAAGTACTGGCAAAAATACTCTGTTTATCTCTTAGCGCCCAATATAATATGTAAAAAACTATTGAAATAAATAAATAATTCAATTAGCTTCATCGTATTAAAAAATTACAAAAATCTATTGAATAGTTTTTGAATAATTAGTAATAAAAGGGTGCTAAATTTCATCAAGTTCAACCAATAGTTAGAAACTGTAAGAATAATGTACATATATATATATATATATATATATATATATATATATATATATATATATATATATATATATATATATATATATATATATATATATATATATATATATATATATATATATATATATATATATATATATACATATATATATATATATATATATATATATATATATATATATATATATATATATATATATATATATATATATATATATATATATATACATATATATAAATATATATATATATATATATATATATATCATTAGTGTACAGTCATGATCGCCTATTGGCAAATACCAGCTGAATCTTTTGAAAAGCTACTGGAAATATTATTATGATGCAATTGAGTTGCTAAATGAGCAACTTAAATTTTTATCTTTTTTCTTTCTTTCTATTAATTCAATAATTCTATAAATAAAAAAAATTTTTACATCCATAGTTGAATTTTTTATTTTTCATTCTAAAGAAGATGACTTTTTAACTATCTAACCTAATTAAGCAATAACATTTCTCGGTGTTAAAGTTTACTTTGTTTTTTCTATTATTGATTAGAGCAAAAAAAAAATTTCAAGAATTAAATTATTTAAAAATTAAAATAATTGTTCATGATGAATTATTTTATGAACTTTTTCTACATATTTAGATTAAAAATAATAGAAATAAATTTGTAAAAAATAGTTAAATGTACATGGGTCGCAGCATTAGATTTTTAGTGGTTACATATTTATATTATAAATAATATAAATCAATAATAAAATTATATATTATTTGTAAATTTTTTTTTTTTTTTTGTAATTCATCTCCCCAAGGCCCAGAAGGCTACTACAGATGAGGAGGCTGTTTGTGGTTATAACCCTCTCTCAACTCTATAGCTCCAAGACACAAACCTTGACAAACAAGGTCACTGCGCAGAGAAACAAGTTGAGCGCAGTACTATTAGGGACGTGGTGGGAAATGTTTTGTTGCTTAACTAAAAGATAACTACTATTTAAGTTAAAATTTACTTAAAAAGAACATATTTATTTAAATTTTGTAAACTTAATTTGTCGCTCTCTCATTTTGAGTTTTTTAGCATTATTTTTCCATAGCCATACTTCGATAGACTTTGATAGATAAAAAAAAAAGATTTTAATAAGAGATCATGATTTAAATAAATTCAAATATATAATATACCTATATTTATACTATATAAAAATATAACTTTTATACTATTTATATTTTGAAACCATCATTAGATACTGTTTAACAATATACAGTAAATAAAAAGTTGAATGATTACATTCATTAAAATTATTTAAAAAACAAATAAATTTAAATTTCGGTGCACATAAATTAGTGCTGTTTTGTTCTTCAAAAACATATTTTAGTTAAAGATTTAAATTATTACTAAATTTTAGTACATAGTATACACTATTTACATATATTGTATACTATATACTATATAGTATTTAATGAAACAAGTAGATGTTGGAAATATCCTATTGGCAAGGATATCCTGAAAGAAAACAAATTCACTGATTGGTTTTTATTGTACCATAGTTTAAGTTAAGCTAATGTGGAAAGAGACTTATGCGCAATGAAAAACATTATAACAAAACAAAAAACACAATTTGGTAATAAGTTACTAACAATACAATTGTGTATTAAGATTATTTGTAAAGAAATGATATCATACAATCCAGGAAAAGCCATTGATAACTGGTTATTATAACCACTGCAAAAAAATAAATCAGGCATTCCTAAAGATAGAAGACTTGGTTACATGGACAAGAAAATTCTTGTTGTCTTAGTTAAAAAGCCAAAACTAATAAAAAATTATTCCAAGAGCAATGATAATAATGATAATGATAACAATCATTTTTGAATTTCATTATTTGTTTTATTGCCTTAAAATCATAAGTTTTGCTTCCAACAAGGCTGCAAACAACCACTAATTAGTGTTGGAAGTTACTGGAAGAGAAAAGATGAAGACAGTAGAGCAAAATATCGATTGACAGATGACTTAAAAGATTGCAAATTAAATGAATCAGGAAAGCAAGATGAAAGAAGGAAATGCCAAAGAACTGATGTTCGAGGAAAAAAATAGACGAATAAGAGTTTTTGGAGCACTTAGGAACAGTAACAGAAAAAGGATGAGACTTAATTGAATGACGAGTAACACGAGAATGAACTTTAGTAGATGGCACAAGAGACGCTAGCTTTTTAGAGCAGTGCCCATTATAATATTTGTAGAAAAGAGAAAGAGAAGCAACATTACAACGATGTGACAGGTTGAAGGTTGGCTACAAGACCAGGTCCAACTATGTTTACAATGCGTTTTTGCACCTTGCTAAAAGAGAAAGGGCATCATTAGAAGATCCGCCCCAGATATAACAACAGTATTCCATACAAGGTCGGATTTGAGATTTATAGAGATAAAGAATAGAATCCAGAGTAAGAAAGTGTCGAGCTCGATAAAGAGATGCAACTTTAGCAGATGCTAATTTTGCAACGGATTTGATATAAGGTTTCCAAGAAAAATCAGAAGTGAGAGTTAATCCTAGAAGATGAAGGGTAGATGACTCATCGAGTACATTACCGTTCATAAATATAGGAAGGTCTAAATTATTGCGATAACGATTGGCTGAAAAAAAACAAGTTTTATCTGAATTAAAGTTCACCAGCCACCGTGAGCCCCATGCTGTAGCAGAAGTGAGATCCTTTTCAAGCTCAAATGCCCCCTGCAAGCAACCAGAAGGAGTTGGCTTCTTATCGTGACAAGAATAAATGGTAGTATCATCAGTGAACAATGCCACCTTAGATGTGAGAATATCTGGAAGATCGTTAATGTAAATTAAAAAGAGTATAGGGCCAAGGATTGAACCTTGAGGAACCCCTGAGGTTACAGAATAAGAAGAAGAGTGCTGTCCATCAAGAAGAGTGCTGTCCACTATATATACAACTCTAGTCAACCACTCTCAACTCCTTAATAAAGCTCTAAAATTAAATTATTTCTGACATAATAATTTGAACTCTAAAATACTCTTTTTTTAAACTGGGTGACTTTATTTAACTATTAAATTACCTTTTCCTTTAAAATCGAAGTCATAATAACCTCTTAGATTCACTGATTTTTAATTATTGGAAAAAATTGTAAATATATTATACAATCTGCTTGTAGCTTTAAATTATCTGTACAAAAATATCAAACTGTTCATTACGGCTATGAATCTATACAATATTAAAGCATTAAAATATGGAACAACCTCCTAGCCAAATACATACAAATTTATTACTAATTTAAATATCTTTTATTAAAGTTATTCTTTTATTCTTTTTTAAAATGAAATATTTTTATTAGTATTCCCATCATCACTATTTTTGTTATTATTACTATATTTTTATCATAATAAATATTATTCTTACTATTATTATTGTTATAATTATTGTAACTGTTATATTATTGCTTTTATTGCATCATTGTTATTATAGTATATAATTTTTATAACTACTACTTACTTTTTATAATTACTAATTACTTATTTGCATTATAATTCTTATAATCATCCCTATTTTTATTATTATCAAATTTGATTTATTTTATATTACTACTTATTACTATTTGTAAATACACTTGATGTAACAACTTCATGTAACAACTTTATTCAGAATAAATTTAATTTTTTATAAATGAAATTGCCTGAGGGTATTGTAAAACTTTTTTTCCTGAATAATATGATACTTTTGAGGTAGTTAAATGCATCAGTTTATCATAAACTATATGAACAGTAAATATGATTTATAAAGTTATTGTAATTGTATTTCACTCGTAACTGAAATAAGAAATTATTTTATTTATTTAAATGCATCAGTTTATTATACATTATATCAACAGGATATTTGATTCATACAATCATTGTAATTGTATTATGACAACACCTAGGTCTGCTCTTTCTCTTAATAAAAACAAGCAAGTCTTCTTACTGACTATAACAGCACTTAAGTCTGAACTATCTTTAGAAAAGCTATTGACTTTTATCAAGCAAAACTTCTGAGAAAACAATGTGTACTTTTAAATGTTCCATAATTATAAAAAAAGATTGTCCTCATTGTATGAACTTGCTAACCATCTTAGAGACTGTTATGATTCTTATGATTATAGATTCTTATAATTTTTATAGATATGGACTGTAGGTAATTACATTGTATATTAAACATGACATATTCAAGCCAATAAGAAAATTAGAAATCATAAAGTATAAAGCAGTTTACAGGTTAAAAAATATATTTTATGATTTAAATTAAAATTATTCAACAACCAGACAATAATATTTTTAAGAGTCAGCCGTATTTTTAAACTTAACTAAAAACAAATTAAATTTAAATGAACCAGAAACATAACTTGAGGTTACAAAAAGTTACTTAAAAAAAAAAATTACTTGAGGTTACAAAAGAGCTACCTGAGGGTAAAAAAATTGCTTGGAATTTCAAAAGAGCTCCCTGAGGGTAAAAAAATTACTTGTGATTAAAAAAAAACTAATTGAGGTTATAAAAGAACTAGTTAAGGGTACAAAAAAAACTGCTTAAGGTTACAAAAGTACAATAATTTTTCAATCTTCTAAGGTACAAAAGAACAATCAGAAGAGATGATGTACAAAAGAACAATCAGAAGAGAATAGGTACAAAAGAATAATCAAAAGAGATGATGTACAAAAGAACAATCAGAAGAGAAGAGGTACAAAAGAACAATCAGAAGAGAAGAGGTACAAAAGAACCAATTGATAGTGAAAAAACTATCTGAAATTACAAGTGAAGAATTAGATGAAGTTACAAAAGAATTACCTGAGTTTACAAATGAATTACTAAAGCTTAAAAAAAAATTAGGTAAGGTCACAGTAATATATAATTTTTTAAACCATTGAATCTTTCAGCCTATATTAAAAAAAGATTAGTGGGCAGTGGGAATTCGTCTATTCGTCTATGGATTTGACCCAACTTCTATTTATTTAAAATATAGTTTTTTATGTAAATATATACATATCCTTCAGTCCATTAGCATCTACTATTTGTTCATAAATTTAATTAAAAATATATTTATATATTTAGAGTTGATAAAATCATGAATTATTATTTATATTATACTATTTATAAGTTATCATTATTAGTATATTATTTATAGGTTATTTATTTTTATTAAATAAAAAGGAATTTGATTTAGCAATTTATAAAATTAACAAATAAAATTAATCTTATTTAATAGAAATGATTTTATTAAATAAAAATAAACTAGATACCAATCCTTTATTTTTGGGTCTTTTAAATCACAAGCATATGCTAAATTATCGATGTCATATGGATTTTTAAACTCAGCTGCATAATTTTCAAAGTTCTCATTATCGCCATAAGTTATTGGCTCTAACTGTATGTTAGGTTCCTTATAAATTTTGTTTAACACTTCATTTGCATTTTCCAAACCTTCTTCAACGTCACTTTTTCTACTGCCTTTAATATCGTTTTTACTTGATATTTGTTTATCTAAACTTTTTGTATATATTTTTCTAACAGAACTTTTTTTTTTATATGCTTTCTCAACTGGCCAAGACATTTTTTTAAAGTTGTTAAATTTTTGCATCATTAATTCACAATACTTTCCAAGTTTCTCAATTTTCTTCTGTTTTTTTTCCTGTCTAATATCTGTATGATCATTCATAAATTCATTTGATATGCCTTGCATGTTCCTTAATGGATTTAAGTTACAGATTCTTTTTAGTGAATTAAGTTTTATATTATCTTTTTTTATTTTAGAGTAACTCAAATATGACTTTGAGTTGTTTCTTTTTTGGTTTCTCATTTGCCATGTTATCCATGTAGAATAATTTTTTGCAGACTCTGCAACTGTTCTGAGTGACTTATTTCTACGCTTTGAACTCATGTTTTGAATTGGAATTGCTTTCAACTTTCTAAAAAAATAAAGGAATGAAAAAGAATACAACAAACTTTTAATTTAATTTCAAAAACCAAGTTTAGAGACAAAATGTATTTTTCTTATTATTAACTTTATTATTTGTTTTCACCCTAATTAATAAAAGTGTTTAATGATTTTCTGTGCAACATTTTAATGTGTGCATATATTTTGATTTAGCCCATGGAATAAATAACTTAGTAAATTAAAAGCTATTATCTGCTAAGATTTTATCAATTTTTAAATAATAAATTAATTCAAACTTCCCACATTTAATAACGTTTTTTTTTTGTTTTATTAATGTTATTCATCTTCCCAAAGATCAAGGGGTCTCTACAGTCAGGGAATTTTTTTTTGTGGTTACAACTCCAAAACATGAACCTTGTTGAACAAAGCAGCTGTGCAGAAACAAGTTAAGTGAAGAGAGTGCTCTACTATTACAGCATTACCACATTTTTAACTCCACCAAACCACTCCACCACTACAACATTTTTAACTCAACCACTCCACTTTTTGGCACTACACCACTACTTCATTTCATAAAAAAATTCAATTAACTCACTTTCTTAGTGTACCTCTTAAGTTGACTTAATGCTTTTGTGATTAAAAAAAAAAAATTTAAACGAGCTCGAAAATAGTAAGAACTTGTTCAGAAAAAAAATGTTTCTTTAATGCATAAAGAGATATGTATGCAGAATAATAGCTTGTTATTTCAGTTAATAAAAGAATTTGTAGCTTTGTTTATTTAAAACCTATACTTAAATATAAATAAAATTAGAAATATTTAAAAAACATATTTTAAAATAAAAAATTTTAAAACTTAAATTAAGCAAAGTTCAAGTTTTATCAATTTTAAAAAATATTTTTCTGCCTAAAATATTTTTGTAGCCTTTTTAAAAACATGTTTTTATTTTCATATCAAATTTATCATTTACTATAAAAAGTTCTTTGGTATTGTTTCTTAACTTGTAAAAAAAAAAAATCTTCATTTTGAACAGTATGGTAAGGATATCTTTAATGATGTAACATATGTGTAAAAAAAAAAAAATAACAACTACTAAAATTAAAAACAATGACAACTCCTTTAGGATATTGGAAATTTTAAATATCTTGGTTTTGATAGAGGATAGAGATCTCTAAAGATTATCATAAACATGTTTGATTTATCATTGAATTTTTAAACAAAAAGTAGAAGGAGTAAACAAGAATAATCTGAACACCTTTTTTGTGCTCAACCACCTTATCAAATGCAGTTTACCTTGGTTTTTAGCTTCAAACTTATCTACATTATTATTGAATTTATTATTATTGTGTAAAAAGTTCCAAGAATTTTAAAGTTACTTCAGATTAACAAATGGATTTGGAAGGTAAACCTCATAGGCAGAAGTACAAAAAACATCAATTAATCCATGCCTATTAAATAAGAATATGTATGAGAAAGCTATCAACATAGTCCCACCAACTAAATAGGATCTCTATGGAAGTAAAATTACTGATATTAACTTGCCAGTTTGTATCAGTAACAGAACTTTAATCTAGAAATGAAGTTAAGAAATGCACTAGTATGTTTTAGTTATTTTTAGCAAGTATATATTTTGCTAAACTTTATATGATTTTGTTACTATTGGTTTAAAATGATTATTGTTTAAGATTGATATTTTAACATCAAAGCTACTTTTGGTTACCCTACTATCTTAACTTTTATCTATTTCGTCTCCCTTCACTCTACATTACATTATTATGTTTGCTCATGATCCACTCTTGAAATGACGTGAAAACACTTTTAAACCTCATACATTATTTTAAAAAATATTAGCAAAAAAGTTCAATTTTTCAAACTTTATCATACTTGATAAATCAGTAATCAAATTTATATTTTGTTTGTTTAGTTCACACATATGAACAAACATCTAAAGCCAAAACGAAAACTTTAACAACAAATTAAAAAGATTTTTTGGACCAATGTCTTAATATCTCTTTGCATTCTTAATGAGACTGCAAATATAATAAAATGAATAGCCTTCTTAAATATAGTGACCCCCTTTGAAGCCTTTGAGGTCTGGTGCTTTTTATTCTATCTTCTTATTTGGTAATTTTAAAAGCTACTTGTTTTTATTTTATTTTTTTATGTAGTAATTTTTGTTTATTTTTAACTGTCTCCTCTTAAAATTGTAAATTTTGAAGAAAAGTAAAATATGGTACATCTTTTCTTGAAATCTCTATATACAAAAATTTAATGCATAATAAAAATAAACATTTTTTAATAAATTGTTTTATGTGTCTGAATTGATATTTAGAGATTTTTTTTAGCCCTAACAGCAGGGTAATGTTTTATGCATACTAAATAGATATCTTTTAAGCATGGAAAAAATTCAAACAAAAATATATTTTATTACCACATAATTTGATTGACATATTTAAGACTCACTTTATGTTAGAAGGGATACTTTTTTTAACATTATACAGATTCTTCATATTAAACATGGATTTTTTGTTTGAGAGTTTACTATCATCTTCTGTTGCATGAATCATGGATATTTCATGACTATTTGGATCATTATAAATCCCAGAGGTTTTCTGATCTTTCTGTGCTGAATAAATTCCAGATATTTCATCTTTATCTGGTGCTGAATAAAATCTCAATATCTTATATTTATCAGGAGTTGAATAAAGGTGATGATTGTTGTCAGCTAAATAATAAAAACAAGACACTAATGTTAGTTGAAAATAAAAAAGTCTGTACAAAAAAGCACAAAACATTCACAATACAAATTTTACAACATATATATATATATATATATATATATATATATATATATATATATATATATATATATATTACTTATGAAATATCTTTGTTAATCACCTCTCCAAGACAGAGGTGGTTGCTGCAGTCTAAAAAATACTCTTTTTTTGTTGTCGTTTTTTTTCTCTTCTCTCTCTTTTAACCAAATAACTTCAAAACACAAACTTCAAAGAACAAGGAGTTACAAAAAGAAACAAAGTAGGTGCTATACTTCCAGGGATGCTCAATCACTACAAGACTAACACATATTTACCCAAATTAAAAAATTAAAAATTACAAAGATAAAACTATACAGCACACGTGGGCATGGTAAAGTGAATAAAGTAATGCAGCACCTGTGAATCTAATGATCAGGTGAATATGAGTCTTAAAGAACAGAAAAACAAATAATTATCTAAGAAAGATTGAGAATAGTAAATGTAACTGGATGAGTCACAGAAAGTGAAAACAGTCTGTAAGTGTGATTGGGTATAAGCTCATAGAGTTTAAATATCATTTTAGTAGCTATAGAACATTTCCGATTGATTATATAATATTTTATTTGGAGTACACTGTGCACTACAAATACTCTATTCAATAGATATTTTGTTGTTGTTGTTGAACCCATATTAGTTTGAGAAGATTAAAAAATTTATTTTGAAAAAACTATTTTTTCAAAATAAATTTTCTCTGCTTTTATTTTTTCAAAATAAAAGCAGAGAAATCAAAAATTATACAATAATAACTAACAAAAGGTTCCATCTATTAAATGTTGTTGAAACTTTTGCTATTTTTAATTGATTAGGAAAAATTTCTTGTTGTATTGAACTTTTAAAAGCATTTTAAAATAAATATTTTTGTTGATTATGTACAAATCAATAAGAATCAAAAAATACGCTAGCATTGTTTTTTTTTTTTTTTTTTTTTTTAATGAGAATAGTAATTATTTAAATCAAAACCTATATCGTTGCTACGAAGTTGTTACAGACTCTAAAGGTCGGTTTCCATATATTGAAAATTGTCGCAGGACAGTCGCGCGACCATATGGAAACGTTATCATGCGACAATTTTTAACTTCCAAGTAGGGATGAAAACTTCCAGGAAAATTTCCAGAAATTTTGGAAATTTTCAAAAAAAGATAATTTAGTTTAGAATTAACGACAAAAACTTTATGTCTTATTTAGGCAGTTGTTATGGACAATCTTATGATAAAATATTGTGAAGTAGATTATAAAATGCCCCCTTTCATAAACACTTTTTTTGGTATTTTGTTGAATTTTTTTATTATAACTTAGATCATTTGTTTTCAAAATTTTCTAAAACTATTTTTTCCTGTTATTTGCTAAGCATATTAATGTTCATTGCCGTTGCAAGTTTTGTTTAAGGCTTAACATAATGCACACTCTTAAGGGGATGGATTTTTTCCAATATCTATTAAATTTGCCCAAGTCAATATTTAATAGATATTGACTCAGTCATTTTTCAATATCTATTAAATTAGCCAAATTATTGAAATCTGTAAAATCATATATAAAAAGATTTAATCGAATATTTACAGTATTTTACGGTTTTTTTTTTATTTAAAGACGTTATTGATTAATAAAAGGCAAAAAGTAAAAAAAAAAACTTTTTGCTAAATTTGAACTATTTAAAAATATAGTTAGCAATAAAAATAAAGAAATAATGGTTTTAAGGTCATAAATTCCACCGCTGTGTTCAAATTAGTGCTTTTAAAAATTAAGTTTCACTCGATCTATTGAAGAGAGTATTTGTAGTGCACAAATTTTATCAATGAAGAACCACAAAAATTATCCATGAAGAACCATTTTTTTATTGAAAATTTAAGTTATTATTTTCAATACCACACCTAAATGAGTATGTTTAACAATAATGTCACGTTAGATTCAGATGGTAGAGTTAATTTTTCTACAAAAGTCGTTTTTGCATAAATAATAATAACTTTTAGCCTCGTTCAAAAAATTGTTTTCGGTATTTAGTATCATTTTTTGAAATACTCAATACTTATTCGGCCATTTTGTAATGATTTATTTCACGCGTAAACAATTTCAATGTGTAATCAATTAAAAAAAAGGCGGTAAACTTTATAAACAAATAAATTTCATTTTCAAACTCGTTTCGTTTTTATATCGCTAGTAAATTTTAATTGACATTTTGTTTCTTTTATTTTTATCACAATAATTTAAAAGTAACATAAGTTACTTTTAACTTATTGTTATAAAAGCAATTATATCTGAACAATTAGTCGATACAAATAGCTATGGCTTCAGTAATGTATTAAGATGAATACATTTAGTTGTTTGCACAACGCAAAATAAAACATATATTCATTCCAACTGCTGTAAAAAAGTAGCAAATTTTTTTTTAAATATACCAATACAAATGTGTTAAGTTGTAATTAGGTTCATAAATTATGTCAAACAAACACTTCAATATATCTTTATAATTATATGGATATATCTCCTGCCAAAATGTTATTACAGACGCTTCGGTTTTTTATAATATTTTGCAAAGTAACCTTTTCGCAGTACAATATCTAAAAATTGTATTGCGAAAAGGTTACTGCTAATTAAAGATCAGAAATGTACACCTTTAGTCAGAAACGACATCAGACTCTATATAGCATTTATTTTATATCGTGAAATCTTATGGAAACCAACTAATGAAATGTATTTATTCAACAAACCCTCTGATTGACACACCATTAATAAGAAAATTATTGTCTTTTGATTGGTTTTGTCTAATTGACTAATTTCTTCATTTTGTTGGTAACAGTAGTTTACCAATACATTTCTGTAAAAAAGCAAAAATTGAACCTATCTATAACTACCTAGTAAACAAACTCATAACTCTGTATATACCAAATAAAAACATATCAATAGACGAATCATTATTGTTTTGGAAAGGTCACTTAAGCTAGAAGCAATACATTCCAAGCAAACCTTCAAGATTTGAAATTAAGGCTTTTGCATAATGTGAATCGGCTACTGGCTATATTTGGAATTGTTTCTTATACACTGGTAAGGAAATGACTGACAGTTTTTCTCCTGACACGGAAAAATAAAAATATCAACCTACTAAAATTGCTATTACGCTAATGAATAATTTAATTGGTAATGGATATTGTTTACACGTTGATAACTGGTATACATCTTAGGAAATTTGCAAGGTATTGCTGGATCATAATACTGATTGCATTGGTACATTACGTATTAATCGCAAACAATTACCGCAAGATATAAAGAATCCTAAAATTAAAACTGGCGATACTTTATTTCAATTTGATACTGTAACGAATACAATGTGTACCAAAAAGGGAAACAAAAAAGATTTACACATGCTGAGTACCTGTGTTCAAAATGATACAGTCATTGTTAATAGAGCTGGTAAAGAAAAAAATATATTTCTCTTGTGATACATGAATATAACAAACATGGGTGGTGTTGACCGATCTGATCAAATATTAACAACATACAAATCCAAAAGAAAAAGAGTGAAAAAATGTACAAGAAGATTTTCAAGCATTTGATTAGTGTTTGTACATTCAATGCAAATATTGTAAACAATAAAATATCACCTAATAGTACATCCTCGCAGTTTAGAGAGTCTATTATCAAAGAGAGTATTGTTAAATACTATGAATCAATTGAGAAATTAATTGAGAAATCAAAATCAATTGAGAAAAAAAGAAGTCGAACTCACAAGAAAATTTAGTTTAGTTTTAGTTCAGAGACAAATCTTTTACGCTGGTTACTAACAATACAAGACTCTACTGAACGACATAAACAGCACAGACTTACACATTACACCTATACACCCTTATGCACATACAGCCTGTTTACATCTTTTGCATGCTTTTTGTTCTTTCATAGATAAACTATCTTTGTTTGAACTCATCCTTATTTAGATAATATTTTCTTTTAATAGATACGTTGTTAAAATGTAGATACAGATTTGTATGTTATCTATATGTGTTTATCATGTGTGATTGAATTTTTCATTAAAGGATTCATCTGAATTTACATATAAGTATAAGAGCGATTCTTATAAACTAGCGGCATTCGACTTGTTTTTATGAAGTATGTTTTTCCTTGTTATTTTGTTATGGTCTCAAAGTTACATTTAATTCGGACCGTAGAGAAAACTTTATTTTTCGGAAATTTCGATTTAGATATGGTCTCAAAGTTTCTTTTAGTTCGGACCGTAGAGAAAACTTCACTTTTTAACAATTTTTTTTCCCGCTTTTTACATCGTTTTTATATCACGATTTATATCATTGTTATAATACCCACAACTAATTTTTTAACCACTCATTTGGCTTAAAATTATCTGGTTTTATTACAATATTTATTTAGTCTTATTTCTATATTCTTTAATATTTTACTTATCTCCTGATTTTCATTTTATTACTGTTTACAGAAACTTTCATGTTATATTATCTTGCTTTCATTACTCAACTTTGTTTTAATTTTCACATGCACAATTTTTACCTTTATTATTATTCAGAGAATATTTTTATATCCTTCATTTAATGTTTACACATATGTCGCTTACATTTTTAAGGTTTTTGTGCAACGTTCTTTTTCGCTATCATATATTATTCTATTATTGTTATCATTTTGGGTTTCGCGGGTTACTCATTTTCCTACACTTTTGATTGGTTATCATATTTCGAATGAGGTATCTATGACAGCGTTAGAGTTTATTTAAGGGTATTGTTTTGTTTATTAAAAAAAATTTTAATGAGGTATACTGCTTTCTGATTATCTTGGGCTTGTTTATGCTAATAATACCTATTTGGTTTTGTTTCTTAAAATAAATTGATTAATATTTTTATGTTTCTATTAGAATTTTAATTTATTTTGTTTTCATGTTTTCTTTTGGTGG